AGAGCACCCAGGTTCAATTCCCAGGAGAATGAGAAATACCTTTCATCTTTCTTAGCCATCAAGTATCAAGAAGGGGGGGAGTAGTGGGGGGGTGGCGGAGGGTGAGGGGACTCACTTCATGACTCTGATATAATCTTTCCAGCAGGAGTTCCCTTTCTGTGACTGGATAAACTGATAGGCCAGAAACTGGGGGGCGGGGGGGGGGGCATGCGTACAAGGCTCTGTGCTGATCCCCGGCACTACAAACAACAGTAGGAAGATATTACAACCGTGCACATAAATATGACCACTTAGATCAGATGCACTAATCCTTTCAAAGCCCGAGAAAAAGGAGAATATAAATAAATAAGGTTTGTTTTGTTTGTTTTTTCTTTTTGAGACAAGGTTTTGTGCTCACTTCAGCAGCACGTTTACTAAAATTGGAACAAGACAGGGTTTCTCTGTAACTTAAACTCTCTCTGTAGACCGGGCTGGCCTCGAACTCACAGAGATCCACTGCCTCTGTCTCCTGAGTGCTGGGACTAAAGGCGTGCACCACCACTGCCCAGCCAAATACATAATCTTACATGTATGTTCATATACACACTCACATTCCTCCCCAGCCCTTCTGCAGTGCTGAGGACCAACCCTGGGGTCAGGTTTCATGCATGCTAGGCAAACACTCGACTGCTCGGCCGAGCTCCCAGCCCTGTGAAACTGTGTTTTTCAAGAATTTGAATTTATACCTCAGCATATCCCCTTAAAGAAACTGTCAGGTCCAAAAACTAGGAAGCGGGCTGCAGAGAAGGCTCAGCAGTTGAGCTCACCAGCTAAGAACACTGCTGCTCTTGCAGAGGACCCACAAGTGAGCTCACATCCATCTGAAGCTCCAGTTCACAGCATCTGGCACTGTCTTCTGACCTTGGCCACACAGCTACACACATGGAACCCAGACATACTTGCAGGCAAAACACTCATATCCACAAAGTTTTAAAAAATCTTTTTAAAAAAGAAAATCAGTTAATGTAGTTCAGGCCATTGATGAACTAAAAGGCAAAGACACAGTTGTCAGCGGGTATAGACCAGGCCTTTGGCCAAATTCAACATCCATTCATAATTTAGAAAAGAGTTAGCCAACTAGAAACAGATGGGGCTGCTGAACTGGATCCTGGCTGCTGCACCCGAGAACCAGCTGCTGTCCTGGGGCCGGGGTCCGCTCTCACCACTCCTACTCAGCGAGGTTCCAGAAACTCTACCTCCCATGGAGATTGAAAAGGGAAGAAATAAAACTTTCCCCACTCAAATGAGATAATATATATCTATATGGAAAAATCCCAAGGAACCTACAAGAAAATTCCTAAAACTAAGAGTGTAGGAAGATCCTAGAATAAAATCAACAGCTCCAAATCTTATTTCCTTCATTACTCAGTGCAAATGTACGTGGTATTGCCACATAGGGATGCTGCACTCCATGTGCACCAAAACTTTACACCAGAATAATCCAGGCAGAGATCTAAGACCTACAGCTGTAAACTAAGGAGGGAGGGGTCTTGGGATGCTGGTTTACAGTTCTCGGATTTCGTTCTGTTACATTCATAATCTGTGCCTCGTCAGAAGTCGTCACCCTCTCTCCTGCTGTGTTCTCTGAGTGGCTCTCACCCTGTCCTGCGCGTCTGTCGTCAAGGTCATGCAGTCCTCTGCTGGGCCCCCCCGCTAGTCCTGACCACAGGTGTGCACCATCACACCCAGCCTTGAAACCAAAAGCTCCTGCTCTCAAAAACTAGAGAGTGAAAAGATGAGCCGGATACTGGGAGGAAGTCTTTGGAAATCACATTTGCTTCTCCTTCCTTCCTTCCTCCTTCCCTCCCTCCCTCCCTTCCTACCTCCCTCCCTTCCTTCCTTCTTTCTTTGGGGCGCAGGGGGAAGGTTCAAGACAGGGTTTTTCTGTGTAGCCCTAGCCATCCTGGAACTCGCTCTGTAGACCAGGCTGGCCTCAAACTTAGGGAACCGCCTGCCTCTGCCTCCCGAGTGCTGAGATTAAAGGCACAGCACGTGCCACCATCACTGGGCTTGTAAATCACATTTTTGATAAGAATGTGCATCAAGAACATTTAAAAACTAAAGTTCAGCCTGGGCAGTGCTGGGCACAACAGATCTGCAGCACCAGCAGTGGGCAGCTGAGGAAGGATTGTGTCTTCTTCTTTATTCTTCTCTCATACAGGATATCCTTGTATCAGGCTTTCTTGGACCGTCAGCCAGTTCCCAGATCATGGCACGGAGACTTACTATTGGTTACAAATGCTCAATCTTATCTTAGGCTTGTCCCACTAGCTCTTATAACTTAAACTAACCTGTTTCTCATCTACGCTTTGCTTTGGGGCTTTTTACATTTCATTCTGTATGTCCTATGCTATGGCTTCCTGGCTGGCCCCAGGCCTCTCCCTCTCTTACTCCCTCATTCTCTGTTTTCTGAAGCCTAGAGTCCTACCTATTCTCTCTGCCCGCCAGCCCCACCTCTCCCTCTCCTGCCTAGCTCTTGGCTGTTCAGCTTTTTATTAGACCAATCAGGTGCTTTAGGCAGGCAGAGCGACACATCTTTACATCATTAAGCAAATGCAGCATAAACAAACGCAACACATCTTTACATAGTTAAAGTGATATTCTGCAACATAAAGGTAACACATCTTTATCTAAAGTAATATTCTATTCCACAATGCTGACTGCAGTTTCCTCTCCCTCCACTCTTCCCATCTTCCTGCAGCCTTCCCTTTCCCCCAGAAAGGAGCAGGCCTCTGAGGGATATCGAGTTAACATGGGGTAATAAGATGCAATAAGACCAGGCACAAACCCTCATCTCAGGACTAGGCGAGGAAACCCAATAGGAGGAAAAGAGTTTTAAGAGCAGGCACACAAGTCTGAGACAGCCCCACTGTTAGGAGTACCACAAAAACACCAAGCTAATGATCATAATATACATGCAGAGGCTCTGTGATTGTCACTTTGGACTGAGCCCCTATGAGCCCTGCTTAGTTGATTCTGTGGGACATGTTCTTGTGGTGTCTTCAGCCCCTCTGGCTCCTACAGTTCTTCCTTCCCCACTTCTGGTGGATTCCCCAAGCTCCAAGGGCAGGGACCTGATGAGATCTCCAATTTAGGCTCTCTCTTTGCCTAATGCTTGTGGGTCTCTGAGGACAATTGGGCTAGGCACTGATCTGGTTCTCGCCCATACTCCTCCCACATACTCCTGCTATAAGAAGTTTGAGTGCTTGACTGCCCATAAGAGGAGCCAGCAGTGACAGCTAAGACTCTTCATCTCTTGAGACGGAGTCAAAGAATGTAGTCATATTTCTTCGGAAGAATCATTTCTTTTTCATATTTTTGAAAACAGGATCTTGACTGGGTGGTGATGGTGTATACCTTTAATCTCAGCATGTGGGAGGCAGAAGCAGAAGGGTCTCGTGAGTTCCAGGCCATCTAGGACTACACAGTAGACCCTGTCTAAAAGAGGGTGAGGGTGGAAGCAATAGGGAGATGGCTCAGTAGTTGAGATCATTTGCTGCTTTTGCAGAGGGCCTGGGTTCCATTCCCAGTGCCCACATGTTGGCTCACAACTGCCTACAACTCCAGTTCCAGGAGATCTATTGACCTTTTAGGCTCTGTGGGCACAAGGCACTCTTGTGGTATGCAGGAAAAACATGTATGCACATTAAAATAAAAATTTAAAAATTTGAAGAAGAAATGAAGCAAGAGCTCATTAACTTAGGCTGGTCTCTAATTTGCTATGTGAACTGATGGTCAGCGTAAGGGCTGGGGTTATAGACATGCAATACCATGCCTGTGTGTGTGCGCAAGTGTGTGTACACGTGGGCCAGCGTTCTGGAGTCAGTTCTCTCTCTCCACTTTGTTGAGCCAGAGTCTTTCTTGTCTCTGCACTGTACGCCAGCCTAGCTGGCCCGTGAGCTTCCAGGAGTCTCTCCTCTCCCACCTCCTTGCAGGCGTGCACGCTGCGTGCGTGCCTGCGTGCATGCATGGGTGCCACTGCCATCAGCATCTGAGGCCGGGCTTGTCAGGCTTTCACAGCTAGACGTTTTACTTACTGAGCCAACTCCTTGGGCTCTGGGCCGTTTCCTACACTCGAGTTCAAGACTATCTCCTAAAGATGAAAGAGAAACACAGAACTTGAAGACAGTGTCTAAACGGCAAAAGACGAAGGAACAACAAACACCGAGCACGCGGGTGTAGGTCACGAGCCGTTTCACAAGTGCAGATGAACACCGCAGTGTGATGCAGTGTTTGTCTTTAGCAGACGTGGTCTTGCTGCGGTGGACCTCAGACTCGCAGGCCCTCTGCCCAGCTCCCGTTGTGCTGCAGGTGCGGCACGTGCCACCACTCTGTGCTGTTCAGAATACAGAGCAGCAGAGCTGCCAGAGGAATGGCACCTCCCTCCCAAGTGAGACACACATCACCGTGTGCCCCCACTCCAGGCACTGCCTAAGAGGGTAACTGAGTGTCCACAAAAACCGCATAGGTTCTTATAGTGGTTTTGTTCATTGGAATGCAAATCATTGTTCTAGAATCTGGGTTAGGGCAGAGTCCCTCCCTCAGCAGATGGCAAGGTGGAGCCGCGCTGGATCTGCATGCAAAGCACACCTGCTCCAGCCCTGGCTGTTTGCCGCTGATTGTCTCATTGAACCTCTCCCAGACTTGGGGCAGCTCTGCCATCTGCCACCCAGAGCCAACAGCCTGCTCTGAGCTAACCCGGCTCCCTCAGCATTTTTCTTTTGGTTGTTCTAGGGGTGAGTTAATCAGTTGCAAGGATTGGGGTGAGCACAGGTTCTCTGCCCGGTGATGTCTGGAACCGGACAGGTTTCAGGGAGCTCGTAGCCAGTCTCAGAACTTCGGTTTCCCCACGTGATACACGATTATGAAAACTGACTCATTGGAAAACTGAAAATAAAAATGGTGGCACTCCTCTCTATACCTCAATATTGAGATGAGCAAAACTTTGGTTTCTGTTTCAGATCACAAAAACGGACAGCACTTTATAATTCCTCAAATGGCAGACAGGTAAGGACCGGTCCAGTTTATCTGCCCAGCATTGCCCTGGTTTGCAGTATGTCAGTGTGTTGTTATATTTTGTGTTTAACAGAGCCCATACATTTTTCTCTTTTATGGCTATACACTTTGGAAATAAGACGGCTGTAAGTAAACCACCGTGTGAAACTGCACTTGGCAAGAGCACAGATCACAGATACACTAAGAAGGAGTTGGGGCCAGGGGTGCTGCCACTAGTTTGGCCAGTTGTCCTGGTATTTTGTGTTCCTAGGTTATATCTACAGATGTTTCTGTGTCAGAAGAGATGAATATTCCTGGTCTCTAACAGGGGTTGGCAAACTATTTTGTCAAGGGCCGGGAAATGTTAAGCTCTGTGAGCTGTGAGTGTCAGAGCTGTCAGTTTGTCCTCCAGAGAGTATCAGAGGGCACTTAAGATAATGGGCCAGGTACTGAGACTCGAGTGTTTAGATCTTGAGAAATGAATGTTCTTTTTCCTTCTCTACCCAAAATGTGTAAAGATAGAAAGCCATCCTTAGTTCATGAGCTAAGAAAATGCCCTAGCCCGCTGCCCCCACCTGTAAGGTGAGATGACGTCACGGCCGTGGCAGTGACCCTGCAGCCCTGGGCCGGTGCTGCCAGAGGGCAGGCGTCACTGCTGTTCTGCTGTGCTCCTGTCTTCCCGGTTTTCTGTTTCCCCTCTGTTTTCCTTTTTACCTTGCCTTTTTTTTCCCCTTTGTGCTGTGGATAGAACTCAGTGGCTTACATATTAGACAGATACTTTACCACTGAGCCATACCCCAGGGCCTAGAGATGAACCCACAGTAGCCTTTGTCATCCAGTTGTGGGCCAGTGCCAGATTGTCTCAGCCTCTTCAGTGACTCCTCGGCTACAGAATGCTTGGTTCTGACAGTTCCATGAACCGTAGTATTTTCATCCCTTGGGTGTCTTAATCTTGTAGAGAGTTCACACTTGTAGTTCCTTACTTAATGGTTTTGTGCATTTCCTCAGCAGCCTGGATGTGTCTGAGTTGGCAAAAGCTGCCAAGAAGAAGCTTCAGTCTGTGAGTATCTCTTCCTGGTGGACCCCAGCATGGACACCCTGCTGGTCCCTAGTGTCGGTCTGAGTTGCCTGTTGTATCTGATGACTATTGCATTAGAGGTAGGCTGGCAGGTCTGTGTAGAGCAATGAAGACCAAAAGCACTTGAGCATTTCCAGTCCACTGACTGCTTCACACAATCCATGTTCTTCTCTGTCGGGTTAAAAATGCAGCCCCTGCCTGTGGTAGTGGGATGTTGTTTTCTGCCAGAGTTCTGGGTATTTCTCAGGGTGAGTAGGGTACCCTTCCGTGGCATCTCTTACGTTCGTCCCATGGGATACTGCGGAATAGCAATAGCTGATGCTGCCAGGGCATCGAGTCTGGTACATTATCCATGGAGCGGTACGGCTCTTGCCCATCGTATGCCATTCCTCAGAGCTTTTTAAATTTACACTTGTGAAGCTGATGGTCTGGACCCATGTGTCTGCCCAGGCCTGTCGGGCACACTCACCTCTGTGTGAAGAGGCCCTGGGAGAGAGGCTTGCCTTTGTCAGGCTTTCCCACAAAGCCTCGCCAGGTGCTTATTGGTCCCCTTGTGAGATTTCATGCCTCATTTCTTCTCCATGCTCCCTGCATCAGAACCAAGATCCCTTGCTTCTTTTAGTCACCTTTAAGTACCCTTCAGCACAGTGTCACTTCCCGTCCAGTTAGGTGTACATGCGTTGTTGGGGTGGCTCTGTGAATTAGCTCTCGGAAGCCAAAAGCAGCTGCCTTGGCGCCTTGCTCCAGGACTCTCTGGCCTGTGTGTTTGCCTTCCTAGTTCCCATCTCTCTTAGCACTTACGGAGCCTGAACACCTCCATGGTGTAGGCAAAGCCCAACTTCCCTGATTTGTGATTTTCCCCTTCTTCCCCTTTTCACAAGAGACTCTTTTAGAGCCTCATACGGTATCATTAAGTATCACATAAAGTAAATTATCCTTACTAGTATTTAACTGTATTGTGAAATAAATGTGTTTTATGCAATTTGTTTGGTGTCTCTGTGTTCTGTATCTGCACTTTGTGTGTTTGTGTGTTTTAATGCCTTTCTTAAATTAAGGAGGCCGTATAGTAAGATAAATGAGATGTCAAGCTTTCAAGGCAGGATGGGAGTGTGTGCTTTCCTTTAGTTACTGGTCATCTGTAAGCAAACTTGTGTTATACACAACAGACAGAGAGACTCCTTCTGACTCTGTTGGCTGGGCTGGATGCCACAGAAAACCTGAGCTTGTCTGTAATATCTAACATGGGACAGGCATTAAATAAATACCTTGGACAGAGTTTAATATGCTCTCCAGACCTTAGGCTGTATGTCAGGCTCAGCGGCCGGGCCCCCCCTCAGCCCTGCAGCAGAGAACCTCCCCTCCAGCAGGGGTGCTGGGAAAGAGAGCATCCAGGGTCTGCTGCTCATAGGTGGCTGCTCTCACCAGTGCCAGGGTGTGTCGCCCCATCACCTTTCTCCTCCATACACCTTCTCTTCTCTCTTCTTCTTTCATTCCTTCCCTCCCTCCCTGTGTCTGTCTCATACTCACTTTCCTCCCTGTGAAAAACTGAGAGAAATATAACAAAACCAATGTATTCTTAAATTATTAAATGTTAACATTTTGAAGTCTTAAGGCCAGTGATGTCTGTTCCGCAATTTCCTTGTCTGTAAAATGGGACAATAGTAAGTTCTGTCTTCACTGATGGTATTAAATAGCTGTGTGGGCCATGTTGCCATTAGTGATAACAAAACAGTTTGCAGTCCAGTCCTTGAAGGTGGGAACTGGATGATTCTCAAGTATGTTCGAGCTCCCAGACTTGCTCATATTCCCCAGCAAGGTTCTTGGGGGTGGGGGTGGGGTTATTTAGAACAATTGGTGTAATGTGAGTACAATAGAAAAATGGAAAGGCTGATGGACTGATGTGCTCGTCCTCAGTCATCTCTCTCTGTGAGCTCAGGCTCAGCATTTTGGTATATTTCCTTCAGTTTTTATTTCCTATTGGTACCTATTTGTATCTTTTTTTCTTCTTCTGGAAATTGTATACCAGAATTTCATACCCTGCTTTTTTTTTTACCCAGTGGGTATCAGGCATTTCCTGTGTTCCTCTGGGGTCTCTGTAGCCAGGGGTTTTTTGTTTTGTTTTGTTTTTTAATTGTTGAATAAAAGACTTCCAAGTTCATCCAAGTGGATGTCCCTCCAGATGTCAGGAACAGAGTGGCAGTGTGACAAATTCAGCATCTACCCTCAGAGCACAAAACAGTCAGCAAAGAAATCACAGCTGCTGGGTGTCAGGCTGAGCCAGAAGAGCCAGAACCTGGCTGGGCTTCTTGACTCAGTTGGGAAGACCTTGATGGTCCTCCCCGTTCCTGGCTGCTGCCAGCGAGGACCTTGGTCTGTGGGATTGTGTTGTAAGCTGCACCCCACAGTGCCCTCGTGAGCCACATTGTGCTTTGCTTGGTGAAGAGACTCAGCTCTGGGGTTGAAAATCAGCAGGAAACCTAGCTGAGAAGTGTCGTGCGGCCCCATACTTACCCACTCCCGACAGTGGCTCTGGTCTAGAGCCTCACCTCTGCCACGGCGACCCATCAGCTGCCCTCCTCACCTCAGCTTTTCTCTTCTTTCTCCTGCCAGGGTTTAGGGTCCCTTCCTTTTGGGAGAGCAGAGATTAGGGTGCTGACTGGCACAGTGAGATCGGAGTGGTCACCCGTCAGCCACCGCTTGGTAGCCTGTGGTAGAGCAGGCAGAGAAGTGCTAACGGCGGCGGCATTCACTAGGCTCTGGCTTTGAGCGAGACATTGGAGAGAGGGTGACCCCACCACAGGCATCCTCCTGGTGTTAACTCGTGTCCCTTGTGTCCCTGATATGCTTACTTTCAGCTAAGTAATCATTTGTTTGAAGAACTTGCCATGGATGTGTACGATGAAGTTGACAGGCGAGAGACCGATGCAGGTGACTTACCACGCGGCTTTCTCTGCTAAGCTTCTGCTCTCCTTGGGCGGTGGCAAGCTGCCAGCCTGTGTTTTACTTGCCCGGTTGCTGCTGCCCTCCTAGCCCGTGTGTTGACGTGTACTTGTGTGTGTGTTGGCTTTGGAGTGTGCTTCCCCAAGTCTCCCTCGTAGCGTGCGAGCCGTGCCTCCCCGCGGAGCTGTGGCAGGCACTGCAGGTGTGATGAGATTCTGTCTCTGGCTCTTTTCCTCTGGCTAGTCTGGCTCGCCACGCAAAACCACAGCACCCTGGTAACCGAGACAACCGTCGTCCCCTTTCTTCCGGTCAATCCTGAGTACTCCTCAACACGAAACCAGGCAAGTGGCCCAGTGTGAAAAGTTCATATTATTTGGGAAATGGCTGATGTCACGGTAGTTAGTGTCCTGTGTACACGTGAACAGACAACTTGAGAATGGATAAAAGCAGATATGGACAGAAAGACATGAAAGGAACATGGTAACAGATAGTAAAGGACACTGGCTGGCGGTGGGGTGTGACGGGCTGTGCTGCTGCTGACAAGACTGTGAGCGGCTGCGGGTGACAGACACACGGGTGCGACCTCAGTGCTCAGGAGGCTGGGACCGGGACCTCCAGCTTGAAGCCAGCCTGGGTCCATAGCAAGAGCGTGACAGATGGGGAGAGCAGTGGGAAGGGAAGGAGGAAGACTGTTTACTGATGTGTCAGAAGCCTCCAGTGTAGTGAGTCCTTGTACAAAGGAATCCTCGTTTAAGAATATTCCCCAAAAAATGGGAGCAGATTTATCCATATGTGTTGTCTGTAACAATAGAACATTCAAGGGAGCCTCACTCTGACAGAGGAGTGAGAAAATGAGGAGAGGGTTTTAGTTCCCACTGACGACTGTCTGAAGGGATGGAGCCCACATCCACACTCGAACCTTATCTTGAAATTTGGAGATTTCCCTCCAGATTCACTGTTCACTCACCTCAAAGTTAAATCATTGATAATAGAGCTACGTTTTTATATTCTGATAGTGCTGGAAATGGAACCCAGGGCCTCGTGTGCTAGTCAGGTGTCCAGCAATGATCTGTACCTCCTACCAGAACTATTTTATTTTGACTCAACAGCAGATGTTGGTATTAATGGGAGAATGCTGGTGACCGAGTGAATGCGATCAAGCCAGTCTGTCAGTGTGGAGCACTTGCTGTCTCTGTCCACACTCACATTTTTCCATTGTTTTCTCCCCCTAGGGCAGACAGAAATTAGCTCGGTTTAATGCCCATGAATTTGCTACGCTGGTCATCGACATCCTCAGTGACGCCAAGAGGAGACAGCAAGGCAGTCCTCTGTCCAGGTCAAAAGGCAAGTGTCCAGCTCTGAGTGTGCCTGGGCCGTCTAAGACATGGTTGAGTCCAGAGCCGGGGTCATGGATAGTCATAAACGTAGCCTAGCCATCCTGAGGGTTTCATTGCTAATTTATTGTGGTAGGAAGGCACCTGTTGGAGCTCTGATGAACAAAGAATACTTCAGAATTATCAAGGGTTACTCAGATTTATCTTACATGTAATTGTTTTCCTAGCCACTTATTTCCCCATAAAATTAGCACCTTGAAATGAACCCAGGAGCCTAATTTAAAGTGTACAAAGGACATAAATGAGAAAATGACGGCCCTTAATTAGTATATTCCCCTGCTGTCCCTTACATTCAGAACCCCTCCACCTCCACGTGATTGGAATTTGCTCTGTAAACGTTAGGTGTCTATAGCAAGCAGCATTGTGATGGAAGTGTAAAGCACGCTGAGCGTCCGTCTCAGAGTAGCTCTCACAAGTCCCATCTGCAGACATAGGAACCCACTTCCCCGTAGCTGGCCCGTAACTCTAGTCTCCGTTTGTCTGTGTACGGAAATGACGCCTTTTATTTTTGAGGCACTTAAACAAGATATTTGTACCATAAAAATTAAGGTTCCAGTCAGTATCACATTCCCCAAAGGCAGACAATAATTTGTGTTTGCTCTTGTTTGTTCAAGATTGTGGTTCTAAGCTGGGCGGTGGTGGTGCATGCCTTTAATCCCAGCACTTAGGAGGCAGAGCCAGGCGGATCTCTGTGATTTCGAGGCCAGCCTGGTCTACAGAGCGAGGGCGCAAAGCTACACAGAGAAACCCTGTCTCGAAAAAGTAAAAAAAAAAAAGATTGTGGTTCTATTAATTCAACCAAGAATAAAGACTGGGAAGGTGCAGTAGATTGGTAAAGATGCAGTCTGGAGAGTCTGTGTTAATTTGAAACCTCAAAAGAAGCCTCCTCTTAAAGAGAAATGACCAGATGTTTCATGTGTGTTGTATATAATAGCAGACGTTAGAAACAGCTAAGTAATAAATTCTAGAGAAACAGTCACAAGAGTAGCACACAAACATTCCAGAAACACTTAGTGATGGGAAGTGAAATTGGACATTTTTAAGGGTTTGGTGTAGTCTCGATTTTGTAAGGGAAGTGTAAGGAGACTGGACCATATAAGAATATGCACATGGAATTGCTCCTGACCGGCAGATTCAGTATTTGCCCAAAGGACATCCTTGGCTGAGTCTGGCAGCCCCGAGCTTGTCCAGCCACAGTGGGTGGACGAGCGGGTTTTTTTTTCTTCTCTCATACATTTTATTCCCAACCACAGATTCCTCTCCCCCGCCCCGAGTCTCTCCCTGACCCTTCTGCTTTCCCCCAGATCTACCCCCACTCTGTCTCCCCTCAGAAAAGAGCAAGCCTCCCAGGGCCATCAACCAAACACGGCATAACAAGCCACAGTAAGACCAGGCATATACCATCTCATCTAGGCTGGACGAGGCAACCCAGTAGGAGGAAAAGGATCCCACAAGCAGGCAAAAGAGTCAGAGACAGCCCCGCCCCTCCCACTCTTAGGAGTTCCACAAGAACACCAAGCTGCTCAGCTATAACATATATGCAGAAGACCTAGGTCAGCTCTCTACAGGCTTGGATCAGGGACTCTGACCTTTTCTGTGTAGCTATCCATTGGGCTGCTTGCTTTCTGTTAGCCCTCTATGGGTAAGAATGTAATGTTATTATTTCTCTCATTTTCTTTCAGTCCTTTAAATGGGTAAACCAGTAAGTCATCCTAGTAGTTTTTAGGAGGAAAGAATAGATTGTAAGTCTGAAATCGTTTTCCCGCTTCTGTGAACAGATAATGTGGAACTCATACTGAGAACTGTCAGTAACCAGCACAGCACTGAGAGCCAGGACAACGACCAGCCAGACTATGACAGTGTGGCCTCAGATGAAGACACAGACGTGGAGACCAGAGCGAGCAAGGCAAGCCGGCAGAAGGTGAGAGGACACACGTAGACTGGACAGACGTGTGTCTCTTCAACTTCTTCTCCCACTGGGCCTGACACTGAATGGCACAGAGCTTGCCGAACATGAACAAGGCCCTGAGTTCAATTCCCAGCACCACCAGAAAAAGCACACATACACTTGCAAAAAAAAATAAAACTTGCCTGCAAAATTGCAAGGGTTAGCCCTTCAAAGGTGCTATGGATGAAACTGGGTTTCCTGCTACCTCAAGACAAGCAAAGATAAAAAAGTAAATGCTCTTAAAGTAAGCAAATGAAAAGTCATCCCTGTTGGTATCATGACTGTTTTATGGGGCATGACCAGAAGCTTTTATGGGCTCAAATTTTTATCAGGTGGTTTCTCTGCATGCTCTTCTCCCAATGAGGCTCTTCTCCTTTCCCCAGAAGAGGTCACTGCTGGGGAAGTGGATGGTGACAGGAAAAGGCGCACCACACAGGTGGTGTGAGTCGTGAAGGACAGCCAGCCAGGAGGGGCAGAGACCGAGCACCAAGGGTGGAGGCCTGGACAGTGTGGGATCTTAAGAAGGGTGGAGGCTTGGACAGTGTAGGATCTTAAGCAGGAAGAAGGTGGAGCAGGGAGGGCTGGGCAGAGGGGAGGACCAGCCTAAAGGTCGGCCACACAGCGCAGAGGTTGTGACACCACCTCGGAGGACGGAGGCCTAGAGGGCAGTGCAGAGCCCAGAAGCTTTAAGCTGGAAAGGGCTGACCACAGAGCTCCCTCAGGGCTTAGGCCAGAGGGGCCAGTGGGAGAAACTGAGGCACTGTACTATGAACATGAGAGAAGGTCCCACCCACTGCAGGCTGGAGCCCCAGGACTGACCCCCAGAGGCACTCCACAGACACTAGAATACTGAGCAAGGAGATAGGCTTGAAGCAGGGGCGTGGACAGAGATGTGTTCAGCATTTGCTACCTCACATTGGCAGAAGGGATACCCCTGCCACTGAAAGCCAAGGTCCTTCCCAGACCCTCGGGCTAGACCCTCCACTGAATGACTAGGTTCCCACTCTTCCTCCAATCCTCGGCTCCCTCTAGCTGAGCTCTGCTGCTGTTGGAAGCTTCTCCTCTGGACATTCTCACTGATGTCCCCGCTCCTCAGACATGACTTAGAGATCCCCCAACACCTTAACACGCAGCCTGGTCCAGCTTTCTCCCTCCCCTGCTCCACTGTATCTGTCTCCACAGCACTAATCACCTCAGCCCGGCTGTGATTCCACATTAGTCCTCCCTCTCACCTGCTGGGCACACACACCATGGAAGCGGCAGTCTTTATTTTCTCTCCTGATACATCCCACTCACTGGAAATCGCTTGATGCTCAGGAAGTAGTATGGAATGAATGAATTCTTGAAAGAATGGGTTTTTAAATTAGCAAGGAAGATGTGTGCAAGTCAGGACAAACCTTAGACAGTCAGTGTCCATACAGGTTTGCAGCTCCCTCCCTGCTCCTTGAGGAAATTCTGGCTTTCAAAGTCAAAAGGACTATAGGGCCCCTGCTTCTCATTTGGTTTAACTGTGCAGTTCAGCTGGCATGGCCAGAGATTGAGATTCTTTAGCTGTAGTCTTGAACATCATCATCTCAGATTGTGAACGTTTTCCCCAATTTATTTTTAGAGCCTAGATTCAGATTTGTCAGATGGACCAGTCACTGTGCAGGACTTTATGGAGGTCAGAAGCGCCCTAGTGGCTTCTGAGGCCAAGATACAGCAGCTAATGAAGGTGAATAACAACTTGAGTGACGAGCTGAGAATTATGCAGAAAAAGGTAACATGTTCATAAATGCCAGGATGGTTGACTCACTGACCCCAGAGTAGAAGGGAGAACCCTAGTCACCATGAGTGTGCCAAGGGAAGGGAAACATTGACTGTAGCAGACCTAGAGATCCGGGGGCCAAGGAAAGCTGTCTTCTTGAAAGCAGGATGTGTGTGGATGTTTGAAATGAAATATTACTGATTAGAAATGCATCCAGAGGAGGGCTAGGGACTGTAGCTCAGTGGTAGAGCATCTGCCTAGCATGCATGAGGCCCTGGGTTCAGTTTTCATGTTTGCCTGGGGATATAGTTCAGTGTGTGCTTCTAAATGCATCATTTGCATCTAAAAATGCATCCAGAGTAAACTCTCCACTCAAGAGACCTAACAAACAGCCTAGTTTGTGTGAGGCAGCATAGTTTTGTCCTGTCCTGGGCTTCCTGGGAGTCTGGAAGCTACTTCTTGGATGTGACACCGCGTCACACACACTCCAGTCACTGATTCCAAAGATTAATCACACCATGCAGACAAAGAAGGCAAAAGAGGGGGCTTATCAGCATGGAGGTCTATCACACACCATGCAAGGTGCACTCTCTGTTGGCACCGACTGACCGCTACCCTGCAGCCCTCTCCAGCATCTCAGTTCACACGTTCCCCTGTACTAGCAAGGAGCGACAGCCCCTGTGGTCAGCACATCTAGCTAGTCCCCGAGAGCAGTGGTTCTCAAGCTGTAGGTCCCAACCCCCAAAGACATTGGAAGATACTGGGAACTGCGTGAGTGCGTTTACCTGGTTGTGGGGCATGGGTGAGAGTGGGACATTGAGAAGCAACAAGCGTCACCCCCAGATTGTAGTTTCTGCACTCATTGGTTCTCTTGAGAAACAAGCTTTTTCTGCACCCAGAAAAACCAGAGACTGGTTTGTGTTTTTATGTTGCCGTCAAAGAATGCTATTTCAGATTTTAAAACTTTTTTACTTGGTTTTTTTTTTTTTTTTTTTTTTTTTTTTTTTTTGGTTTTTGGTTTTTTGAGACAGGGTTTCTCTGTGTAGCTTTGGAGCCTGTCCTGGATCTCGCTCTGTAGACTAGGCTGGCCTCGAACTCACAGAGATCCACCTGCCTCTGCCTCCCGAGTGCTGGGATTAAAGGCACCGCCACCACCATGCAGCTTCAGATTAAAAAACTTTTAAGGCCAGGTCACAGGTGCTCTTCCTAAAGGAAAGCCAGAGAATCGAGCTCTTGCTTGCTGGGATTCAGGTTGTGAGACCCTTTGAAATGGGTGGTCCCATACCTGTACTGCAGAGGGTGAGGATGCCTTAGATCATTCGGCCCCCACAGACCGGTGCTCAGGCCTGCCTCACAGCCCCATCTAGGCTAGTGCACAACGGAGACCAACAGGCTGAGATCCCTTTGCTGGAACATCAGGACTTGCATTTCCTCCACCTTTTCTGAGACACAAGGATGTAGTTTAATGTGTCATCACACAAGTCATTTTCTTGGAGTGATGTCTTTGTTCTGAAACTTGGCCTTTGTAGAGAGCACTCTGTCAGACATCACCTTTTCCTATAGCTCTCCTTTCAGTGTCTATAGAGTTCATCAGACGGTGCTGGGAGATGGCTCAGTGGGATTTGCCAGGCAAGGTGAGGACTGAAGTTCACACCCCCAGAATCCATGTGAGAAGCCAAGTTGGTCACAGCGGTCCACTTGCAATGGCCGGGCACCAGAAGCAGGATGGGTTCTCCAGAGCAAGCCACTAGCCAGGCTAGACCAAACAGTGAGACACCTTGTCTCCATAGGTAAGGGAGAGAGCGATTGAGGAAGGTACACACACATATGCAAAAAAATAAGGAAAACTAAAATTGGCTGGGGCGATGGCTGAGCGGGCAAAGGAACTCACTGCAGAAGCCTGATGGCCTGCATTCCAGTCCCAGCACCTGCATAGAGGCAGGAAAGGACTCCGCCACGTTGTCCTCTGACCACCCCAACTCACACTTGATACCCATGTGCATAGTCATTTTTTGTTTTTATTTTAATTTCTGGAGGCAATCCGTATCTCTGAAAGCAGGTGTCTTGAGTTTCTTTAGGAAATGTAGAACAGAGACCGGGGAGGTGGCTGGTGGGTAAGGCACTTGCCACCAAGCCTAATGACTTACGTTCAGTCGTTCCCCCCCTCCCAGCGCACAGTAGAAGGAAGGACCCAACACCCCAACATCCGCACATGTGCCATGGTGTGCACTCACCTAGGTGCATACATGTGCACACAAAGAAAGAAACAGACATTTAAAAGGAGATGTTGAGCAGGGCCATTGTTCATTGATTGCCTTTTCCATTCTTACAAATACTTTTGGTTTCTGAAACTATTGAAATATCTGTAACTTTTTATTTCCTGCCATATTTTTTCCAAACAGTGTAGCTTTTGTTTTTTGTTTCTCCAGACAGGATTTCACTGTGTTGTGTAGCCCTGGCTGTCCTGGAGCTTACTCTGTAGACCAGGCTGGCCTCGAACTCACCGAGCTCCTCCTGCCTCCATGTGTTGGGATTAAAGGTGTGTGCCACCACTGCCTGGTTCTTACAAAGATAAACATGGTTAACGTTTATCTAAGGGCATCTTCTTTGTAAATACAGAGTAATTAGCCGGGCGGTGGTGGCGCATGCCTTTAATCCCAGCACTCGGGAGGCAGAGGCAGGCGGATCTCTGTGAGTTCGAGGCCAGCCTGGTCTACCAAGTGAGTTCCAGGAAAGGAGCAAAGCTACACAGAGAAACCCTGTCTCGAAAAAACCAAAAAAAAAAAAAAAAAATACAGAGTAATTAATTTTTTTTTTAAGTTGACACAGCCTTGTAATCCCAGGCACTACAGAGGCTAAGGCAGGAGAATCACAAGTTCAGAGACCTCTTGGGTTAAGAACTAGTTCAGGCCAGCCTGAGTAACTTGTACTCTGTCTCAGTGTGCCAGGGTCACAGCTCTGGTAGACCATGTGCCTCTGTGCTTGAGGCCCTGGATTAAATCCCGTGTGAGGGGCTGGGGCGATTGAAACCAAGAACTTGTTCTCATCTCAGAAGACAATTAGCAAGACCCAGACTGGACATTTCAGAGGCATCAGCAGTGTTGAGAGGGTTTCTGATTTCACAGCCTAGTCTGAGACGCCACGGTGGGCTTTTAATGTAGACAGACATGCACATGGCACTCGGGCACGTAGTCACTTACACTCTTCACTCTTTGGACTGTGGCCATTTCACTGAGGCACCCAGTTCCCCGTTCATAATCCTGACAGGCCAATCACACTTACCTGTGTCCTGGAATGCAAGGATTGCTGGAGGCTCTGGTTGAAGAAGAGGTTGCAGATATAGGCGAGGAAGCCATGCTTCTGTGGAAGTGTGGCCCTTCTGATACAAAGACCTGGGCTTGTTTATATAGCAAAGTATGTATCGATTTTATTTCAGCTAGATACAGTTTTTAATAGAATTGGCAAAGTAGTGTGATTTATGTCTGACCTTTTACATTTAACAGTTGCTTGGAAACGATGCTAATTAATGAAGAGGACCGGCCACTATTGGTGTATTTTGCGCAAATGTCTGCTTTCTAAATAAAAATTGAAAGTGAACTCCTAATACTGCATGAGCTTGCTATTGGAAAGCAAGGCTCTCCTGGGGCAGACACAGTTGCTTATGGACTTAAACCTTGTCGATGGAGGGCAGTTTGGTCAGAGGTACATTCTGTCCAAGAGGAGGCAGTTGGGACAGTGTCGGGAAGTTGCCATACAGAGGGGAAGCACCAGGAAGCATGGGTACGGTTCAGGTCGCCAGCCCCACAATCCCTTGCTGCTCTCTTCACCCTGAAGCAGCCCAGATGTGAACATGGAGATTACTCGGGGCCTCCAGATGTCAGTGTCTGACCAAAGCCAGGTGCCACCAGGCAGGCTAGCTCCTTTAGAGCCACATCATCACTGACGGCATGGCTTTTGAGTGACAGGGCCAATGACAGGAAGGCTGGATGCACCAGCCCTGGCAGAGCACTGGTCACCAGGGGAAGCACACGTGCCCCGTGGAGTGCCTTCATGTGAAGATGCTAATGTAGTCCAATAGGTTGCCAGTTTTCTGTGATAAGGGAATTTAGCGAACTCACCATGGTTTGGCTCCCTCATACTCTTTTAAAGACGTGCTTGAAAGTGCTTGGAATATCAAGAGTGCCGTGCAATACAAATTTATCCCAGTTTTTCTTGTTGGGTCTTTTAGAAAGCAGTGGGTGCTGGGTTTTCCTGAGCTGAACCTCACTCTGTTTCCTGCTTCGCACAGCAACTATGGTTTCTCTGTCCTGCTTCCGTGGTGTCTGCCGTCACTTCTCCCATCTGCAAATGTTCAGGGGTCACACAAAAAGAATCGAGTTAACGCTCTGAACTGCGTCCTTGAAACAGCTTGTCTGCAGATGTTTCTGGCCCCACCCCAAGACAACTTTTTAGGTGGTTAGACTTGAGTTTCCGTGAGCCTGTGTGATAGAAAAGTGGGTCACTCCAGAGGGAGAGGTAGGGCTTCCACTTGCAGCCCAGCTAGCTTTACTGTTCGCCTGAGGCCGGCGTTGTGCTCGTGTATTTGATGTTGGCTTTGTCTGCTCACTGTGCGAAAACACGGGCCCACTGCCTGACATTTCTTTCAGCTTCAGACACTCCAGAGTGAGAATTCAAGCCTCAGGAAGCAGGCCACAACCAATGCCTGTCAGGTGCAGACTGGCCCTGACTACCCAGACACTTCCAGCCACCCGTCTTTAAAGCGCCGGCCATCGGCCCGGGGCAGTAGGCCCATGTCCATGTATGAGACTGGATCAGGTCAGAAACCATACCTCCCACTGGGGGAAGCGAACCGCCCTGAGGAGAGCAGGACAAGACTTCAACCCTTCCCTGCTCATGTAAGTAGCACCGTTGTGTGTCTGTCCCTACTGTGTGCTCTGACTGCGTGCTCCTCTTCTGACCATGTGATCTCTGGGCTCTGAGAAGTGCCGTGGGTTTGCTGAGTGGACATGACTACAAGTGCTCCCAATGTGCCATGGGCGTGCGCACAGGCTTGTGGGCTGAAATGTTTGGGCTGGGTTGGGCATTCTGGCTCTTGCTCAGCCCCGCCTCTTCAGTGCCTCTCTTTCTGTGATGTGTTTCCCAGACAGCCTCTGTTGACAATTTTTATGTAAAGCATCCTTCCTGATTCCACAAACAAAAGCCAATTGTAAAGGTCCCCAGCCGAAATGTCTTTGTCTTCAAAATAGGCAGAGATTGGGGCTGGAGGCATGGCTCAATGGTTAGAGCACTGGCTGCTCTTGCAGAGGACCTGGGTTCATTTCCCAGCACCCACATGGCAGCTCACAACTGTCTGCAACTCCCTGTTCAGGGGATTTGACTCCCTCTTCTGGCCTCCAAGGGCACTGCATGCACGTGCCACACAGCCATGCCAGCAGAACACTCGTGCGTATGATGATCTTCGGGAACCCAGCAGGGTAGGCAGAGGCAGGCCCCTCTATGAACTGTAGCACTTAGGACCAAAGATGACCCACGGGCTGAGACTCTGGGCTTCAGCGTCCTGTTCACTGACCTCAGCACAGCTATTAGCATGGCTCGGTCATTTCATAAAGGTGCAGTCTAAGCAGCAAGGAAAGCAGCACTCGGGAAGCTGAAGCAGGGGGATTGCCTGGACTATATGAGGAGAGCTTATCTTCAAAAAAAATAAAAAAGATGTAAATAATAGAAACTGCATCTACCCCACAAGTGTCAGTTCTGAAGACTGCTCTGTGACAGGTTCTCACGATCTTTGCAGTGACTCACAAATTGGTATGCAAGTTTTGTTTTCAGACATTAAAATGCTCTTTCTTCTGGATTGGTTTATTATGAAGTTGTCTGTTTTCACAGAATGCCATGAGCATACACTGCCTTCAGAGTGTCATAGTTGTTCTGAGTGTCAAAATTATTTCTTGGAAAATAGAGTTTCAAAAAAATCCTTAGGGTAATGCAAAGTAAATGATAAAAATCTAATAAACTAGACAGGTGGTGGTGGCGCACACCTTCAATCCCAGCACTCAGGAGGCAGAGCCAGGAGGATCTCTGTGAGTTCGAGGCCAGCCTGGGTTATAGAGCCAGTTCCAGGACAATTACACAGGGAAACCCTGTCTTGAAATACGAGAAGAAAAAAAAAATGTAATAAACTGATTTTAATTTTGTCAGCTTTAGAGTGGTAAAGCTGTAGTGTTGTATGTAACCAGGAGTCCATTTCTCAACTTCTGTTTATTTGGTTTAATGCTTGAAGACAATATATTTGTCTTTGAACTAAGTGAAAAAGAGTCTAATTTTCATATAACCGAGAACAGAACTTAGGAAAGCCCACCTTGGTAACGTACAAGCGTACTTGATCTTAGAGGACGTCAGGGTGTACGGCTGTCGTGTTGTCCTGTGTCTGCACGACTGGAGACTGGCGTGCTGGGGTGCGCCAGTTTCGTCACCCACAGCACTTAGGTCACATTGCCCCTCTTGGTTGGAGAGCACGCGTCATTCATGGCAGGCTGTGCATTAACTGTAGGCGCTGCCGGTTTTGACCGTACGCCAAGCATAGCTCTGATGGCTGTGCTGACTTTTCCCTCCAGCAGAAGTGGCCTCTTGCGTGGAGAGTGGTTTCCAGCAGGCACCAAGCCTCTCAGGAGCTGTCACAGCTGTCACTGAGCTCATGGGACTATTGTGTGATGAGCCGCAGGGTGGGAGGTGGCCGTTGGTTTATTTTGTATTTTCCCAAGCTTATTTCTCTCTCCACTTCCAGATCGGGAGGAGTGCACTTGTGACCTCCTCTTCGTCTCTGCCTTCCTTCCCCTCCACACTTTCCTGGTCCAGGGACGAAAGCGCCCGAAGGGTTAAGTACACTCTGAATGGTCTGCCCTGGAGGAGGGGCAGTGCTCCTGGGCGCTTTGTGCTTGGGCGCTGGTCCTTCTGTCCCTGTCCCTTGCTAACAGCCCTCTGTCCTGCATGAAACGGCGGCGGCACTTTGCTCCTGGTTTCTCACGGCAGCAGCCACATGCACATCTGTCCTAGCGATTCAGCCTCCCTCTGTGTGACTCCACATCGCTCCTCTCACCTGTCTAACCAAGGTCACGAATCAGCCTGCAGCGCTCACTCTAAGCATACTATCTTGTTAAACAGAACGTTTAGCTGGCTGCTGGTTAACTATAACAGGGAAAATCTGTCTAGGTTTTTGGAGCTGCAGTTCAAGTGTTGTGTTTGGGTTGGCACGAACGTGTTCTGACTTACTCTGTGCTGGCACCGTCATGTCTGACAAACCCAGCCCTCAGTGCTGCTGTCACGCGTGTGAGGGGTGAGGTGGCCATAGGCTTAAACTGTCTGCTTGTACTGATTGGCCAGACCCTTGTGCTGGTGTGGGCCTCACCCTCTGAAGAGTAGTACATGATCAAGCCCCTCTAGGGGGTCACCTCCCCAACACCTACCTTTAAGGATGGCAGCTAGCCGGGCAGTGGTGGTGCACACCTTTAATCCCAGCACTTAGGAGGCAGAGGCAGGTGGATCTCTGTGAGTTCGAGGCCAGGCTGGTCTACAGAGCAAGATCCAGCAAAGGCGCCAAGCTACACAGAGAAACCCTGTCTCGAAAAACCAAAAAAAGAAAAAGAAAAAAAAAAAAAAAAGAAAGAAAGGCAGCTAAAGGACGCAGAGGAGTTAAGTGTTATGGTCCCTGTTCCCAAAGGACCGCCATGTAGAAAGAATGCTTTCATATATGCAGAGAGCATGATGACTTCCTCTGAGGAAGGCTGTGGGTAGAGCCCGAGCGGTGGAGACCTGCCCTTCAGTTCTAGCTCAGTCTGTCTGGAGCAAGGGTGAGAAGAGGGACGGAACTGGGGGCAAGAGAGTACCTCCCCCAGCAAGGCTTGGTGGGTCCCCTCCGCCCCTCAGAGTGGCGGGGACCCCATCCGCTGCCAGGGTCACGTGGCTAGCCAGGTCTGAGTTTCCTTTTGAAGTGGTGACGTCCAAAGAAGTCTTGCTGTTTGGTACTTGCAGTCTTCTGAGGAGTCCTGACGGCCTACTTAGTGATTTGTTCCAATCCAGCTAGAGAACAGCAAAATAATAAGGAAATCCCCCATTTTGTTCATAATTTTGTTAATGAGAGTCAAGTAGGCCCTCCTTACCCACCATAAAATTTTGTAGTTTTTAAAATGTATGGCGTTTTTGTAGCCTTGAAAAAGACCTGTTGCTGAAATGGTTTTGTGCAGTGATGGGTGAAGTCATTCAGGCTCATCCGAGCTCCTGCAGCTTTGTCGTAGGTTAGGTTTCTGTGGTTTGTCTGTGCAGAGGAGATGGCAAGTTGTTAAGGAGCTGGAGAAACAGCAGCTATAAGGTAACTTTTCTATTAACAGCTTTGAGAGCAGCACTTAACAGCCCTGGCTCTGCATGTTCACAGTAATTTTCATAAACTTAAATGCTGGCTACATTGAAATCCTGTGTGCTTTTTTGACGACGGAGGAGGACTTAGTGCGTAAGTAATTGACCCTGGGTGGTTGTCCTCTGCGCTGGACGAGCACTCCCTGAGCTCTGAGCACTGAGTGGGTGTGTGGCTCACTCTTCGGAGGTTTACACAGAGCTTGGCACTGTTGATCACTGTGGGTAAGGTATTCCATTTCTGACGGTCGTCTTGACATCAGGGGAAGCAGAATCATCTGCTGTAGAGACATGGGATTGCAGGAGACAGGAGGATTACAATTTTAGGACAGACCCGGCTACATAGCAGGGCTCTGCTCAACATCCAAAATAGAAGGTGCGGAAGATATTAGTCCTGTCTTCTAGATTTTTCCTCCCATGGGAGCAGCTCTGAATGGACTGTCCAGCTGCGTGTGTGTGTGTGTGTGTGTGTGTGTGTGTGTGTGTGTGTGTGTGTGTGTGTGTGCATATTTGTTTGAAATTAAAAAAAAAAAAGATTAGCCAGACATTCCCTGTAAAAGGTAAGGAAGGTCTTAGAGAGGTGTGGTTTTACTGTCACGAGGTTCCAAGCCAACACTGGTCATTGACCAGATGAGTTGGAGTGGGTAAGAAAGTCGGTATTAGATACTAGCCAGCCCCAGTGTCTTCTCAGAGGGGGAGAGGAAGTCCAGGAGGAAATGTGAAGGAACTCAGCAGACAGACAGAGAAGGCGCCCCACCTTGGAGCTGGCCAGACCACAGACCTTCTGCAGACTTCCTCAGTCAGCTTCCTCTGGCAGGAGCCGTTCTGGAGGAGGCGGCCCCGTCTCCTGTGTCTAAGCAAAGCCTTTACAGCCGCAGCCTTCACCACACTCTCCCGCCACACCAGTTAAGTCCCTGTCGTGGGTGGCTGGAAACAGGCAATCAGTCTGTAATGGGTGTAGATTTTGCATCGACTTATGCTTATTTCTAGATAAGGGGTTGTCACACACAGGAAGATGAACGCCGAGAGATGGTTTCTCCACACGCTCCAGACCAGACTCCTCCAGAGGATGTGGTCCTTGCCACATCTTGTCACACTGAGAGGCCCCACCTTTAATGGCACTGCCTTTCCCTTGCAGTGCTTTAGGCATTCCCACTTTGAATCTTCAGCCCATTTTGAACCTCCATAGTTAGACCGAATCTTTGCATCTTCAGAGGTAAATATTTTGGGAAACAAGTAGTGTGGAACTAAGAGTCATCCTGGGCTAACCCATTTGGTTCCCAGGCAGCTCGTGGCTTTCTTAAAGAGGGCTCATGGAAACCATCCCTGAAGGCAGTTCTTAGCAGCAGTCCCCAGACTTCCCAAGCATGTGGTAATGGGGGGTCTGCAGAAGGCTTGCGGCCCGGCTCTTGGCTCCTCTGCAGACTCTGCCTGAGGGTGAGCAGCTAGCTCTTGGTCCTTCTGCCCCTCTGGTGTTAAACCAGACCAGCTCTGAAGGTGTGTGTTCAGACACATGCCGCTGGGTTTGTTACTAACTGCGTCTCGTTCCCTCCACTGAGAACTAGAGGAGAGGCTTGCGTGTGTGCCCTTGTCATGCGTGTGTCTGTTCAGGAGACGTGGACCCGGTGTTCACTCACCTTCACTGCGTTCCCACTAAAGGGCCGCTTCCTGTCCCAAGGGAGCTCTGGGTGTGAAGGTAACCTAGCCTGGCAGGCGTGCCTCCCTGGGAGGACTGAGGAAGGATGGGATGCTCAAAACTAACGGGGGCCATCTCTTTTCGTAGGCATCCAGGCTGGAGAAACAGAACAGCACCCCGGAGAGTGACTATGACAACACTCCCTATGACACTGAGCCGGATGACACAGTGTATGTGCAGGAGGGAGCCAGGGGCCGTGGGGCGGGGCCGTGGGGCTGTGAGCACAGCTGCTTGGGTTTCCTGGTGTCGTAGACTGTCTGTCTGTCTTCTGCACTCACATCACCAGCTCAGTGCCGTCCGTTTGCCCCTGTGCCAGCCTGCTGCACCCTCCTGTTTCTCAAGGAGTCGGCAGCCTGGGGTGGCTGTTGGCCCTCCCCACCTGACTTTCCTCCGTCTCTCTCCTTCGCCCTGTCTCCAGCAGCCCTAACTCCAGCCAGGACAAAGTGAAAGGCGGAGTGTGGCCGCAGTGCCGGTGACAGGCAGGCCTGGCTGTGGGTCTCCTGTTAGACAGGAGAGGGGAACCACGGAAACAGCTCGTGTGCGCTCCTCGGGCTTAGCCTTCCTAACTGTCCACAGGCCAAACCGGAAAGGACGGCAGAGGAGTGTGGTGTGGCCCGGTGACGGCTCACTGCCCGACCCAGCGGAGCCCCACTTGGTCCCCAGCCCCACGCTCCCCAGCACAGAAGATGTCATCCGGAAGACTGAGCAGATCACCAAAAACATCCAGGAGCTCCTCAGAGCGGCCCAGGAGAACACACACGACAGGTACGAGCTGCACCTGGGCCAGTGGGGTGGGTGTGCTGAGTGTGCACCTGGGCCAGCGGGGTGGGTGTGCTGAGTGTGCACCCGGGCCAGCGGGGCTGCTTGAGTTCTGCTCTGACTTCGGGGTGGGTGGGAACGTGAACATGTGTGTGGCTCGAGTCTGGGGATGTTAGTGTGGAGTTTTGTGTTTTCATCACGTTACGAAGTCATCTAGAGTAAATACATCCAGAAATAAAGCTGCAGTGTCTGGGGACAGCCCAGGGGAGGGAACCACCTCACAGCTCGAAGGCCAGCGCTGCTGCCAGAGTCCACTGGGGATGAGGCTTCCAGACAGGAGGCGTCCTGAGGGGGAGGATGCTCTGGAGAGCACCCGCGCGCGTACACACACACACACACACACGCACGCACGCACGCACGCACGCACGCACGCACGCACGCACGCACGCGCACACACACAGGTGCCCATGGTAACTTGGCAAGAGACTGCACCTTCCTGCATAGAGCAGAGTGCCCTGCAGCTTCCCCCACACCACCTGACAGTGATAAGGGATCTCACACAAGAACCACTCCCGAGTGCTCCCCGTTTGTCGGGGTGCTCTGTGTGTGATTCCTTACACAGTTAGAAACACTGCTGGTGTTTCAAGCTGCGCTTACACTAACCGCTGTCTGGTGGCTGTCAGAAATACAAATAAATATGAACCCTGAGACTTCCGGCTTCAACGATTGCCATATCTTCTTTGCTTCAAGTTAGGGGCATTTTTTTATGTAGAAATCCATCAGCACCTTTAATGACTTGCTCTCCTTTCACTTGAAGACCAGAGAAAACGATATCAAAATCATTGGCTTATGCTTCCGATTTAAAGCTCAAGTTGGCCTTGGGGATTTCCTCTTTATTACTGACTTGGTGTTCTGAGCTTTCACATGGACCTGGTGCTGGGCTAGTGACAGCCACCGCCTCCTCCTCCCCGCCTGCGTCCTCATCACATGGCTGTCACTCAGGTTTACCTAGGCCATCTGCACCTCCACACCTCCATCTCGCTTCTAGTTGCCTGAGTCCAGCGGGCTTCCTTCACCCCCAGCCTGGCTCTGCTGCAGCTTCATGTGCTCCTGGTCCTGTCTCTGTCCTCGGGCGTGGGTGTACGTGTGCGCGCGCGCGCGCGCACACACACACACACACACACACACACTAATATAAAATTAGAAATAGAGATGGCTTTTGATAGTCTTTACTCAGAAGTCAGTTTTATGGTTTTAAAAAAACAAGGAAAGATTGTTACTCGCTTGCGGCTTTGAGTCCGTGGTGATTAGGAACACCTTCATCAGGCTAAACCTACAGCAGTCTGGGCAGTGTTTCTCTGCAGAAAATGCCTCCCAACATTCTTTCCCGGTGCCCATGTCCCTCCCAGGCAGCGAGGAAGTCCTGCGCACATAGCCAAGGCTTGGTGGCAGTGTTGTATTCAGAACTGTCACTCAGTCCCCATCAGCTTGTGTTAGAGCACATCATCCCTCCCCAGGCTGCAGACCTGACAGGTGTGCTGTAGTGAATCCCCTGCGCTCTGTCAGGGTGCCTCAGATAAGACTCCTGCTTAAAGCCGGGGTCTTGGTTCTTCCCTTTCTCTTTTTTGGTTTTTCGAGACAGGGTTTCTCAGTGTAGTTTTGGCACCTTTCCTGGAACTCACTCTGGAGCCCAAGCTGGCCTCGAACTCACAGAGATCCGCTTGTCTCTGCCTCCCGAGTGCTGGGATTAAAGGCGTGTGCTGCTGCCGCCGCCGCCGCCGCCGCCGCCGCCGCCGCCGCCACCACCACCACCGCCTGGCGGTTCTTCCCTTTCTCATTACGAGTCAGCTCACCATGCCTGCGTGCAAAGAGGCTTTTTACAGATGGCAATGTGAAGCTGTTATCTCCTTGCTCTCGGAGCAGCCGAAGGAAAGGAGCACATGGTGAGGTGGAGGCACTGGAGGGACCTTTTTTTTTTTTGGTTTTTCGAGACAGGGTTTCTCTGTGTAGCTTTGCGCCTTTCCTGGGACTCACTTGGTAGCCCAGGCTGGCCTCGAACTCACAGAGATCCGCCTGGCTCTGCCTCCCGAGTGCTGGGATTAAAGGCATGCGCCACCACCGCCCAACAGACCTTTTTTTTTTTTTTTTATCAGTCCTTTCTTCTTCACTTTCATGGAACTTGGCACGGGACCATTGCTCCTCCTCCTGGAAACCTGGAAGGTAGATAGGAGAAGTAAGGGAGCAGGCTAGGCACATGGTTGTCTTCATCTCTGTGGCCCAGAGCACATAGTGCAAATTCGAGGCCTGGGGACTGTTACCGGGGTGAATGTGTGTTCCTGAAAGAGGGGGACCTGCTTTGTAGCTGTGTGTCTGCTCTCGGGTGCACACGGCCTCAGCCCCTGCATTAACAAAGTGGAAATGGAACCTGTCTGGCCGCTGAGCACTCTTGACCTCTGAATCATTTGAGCTGCTGCTTAACAGCCTTTTCAATGTCTTACAGTTATATTCCCTGCTCGGAGAGAATCCATGTCGCCGTTACTGAGATGGCAGCCTTGTTCCCCAAAGTAAGTCACTTCCTCCCAGCTCTCTTTGAATGAGTTTCTCATCATTGCTCCCGGACCTTATGGATTGTCTTTGGTGAGGAGCGGGGTGCTGGGATGAAATCTAGGGCCCTGCGTGTACTAGGCACTCTGCTGTGGAGCTGTACAGTGACCCACAGCCTTTTTCTTACATTGTAGCACATGGCTTAAAACACATCACCTCAGAGGACTTGAAGATGTTTTTATTATGCACAAACATCAGATTTAGTGAGACGTGGATCTGGAAGTCAGGTGGCAAGGCAAGGCAATAGAGTAGAGTTTAGAATGTGCTGCCTACAAGATCATCTCCAAATGCCTTAAAACAGCACAGACTTCTAAAATTCTTCCCAAATGTAAGCATTTCCTCACTGCTTAGGCCCTTGTTGGCGAAGCTGGTAACGTTTAAAGCACAACTCCGGGTGCTCTCGGGCGGGCTTCCTCCTTGCTGTCGGGGTCCACCCTGCAACCCACAGCCTACCGCTGTCCTCTTCATTTTAGAAACCCAAGTCTGACACGGTGAGGACTTCCCTCCGGTTACTGACGTCCAGTGCCTACCGGCTCCAGTCGGAGTGCAGAAAGGCCCTCCCGGGAGACTCGAGCTTGCCCACAGATGTGCAGTTGGTCACACAGCAGGTCATCCAGTGTGCCTATGACATCGCCAAGGCCGCCAAACAGCTGGTCACAATCACCACCAAAGAGAACAACAACTGAGCTGTGAGGCGCGGCCCTGTTTTCTAGGCTTCTGGAAGTCCGGCTTCGGTGTAGACCTGAACTCTTCAGATTTTTATAGAAACGTTAATGATGACTTGAAACTTTTAAAAGAAAACTCAGTATTATTTTTGCATGTTTTCTAACAGACTTCTGACTGTAACTTACCGTTGCCTTACCTGTGCCTGTCTGCAGCTTCGTTCCTGTTGTGTTCCTGTCACCAGGTGCTTAGATCATGACCAGATGTGTTTCAAGTCTCTGTGCAGAGTTTGCTAAAACTCTTCCATCCCTTACAACTCTCTGCCCATGGCTGAAACTATAACTGATATTTTTAGTAAAACCTTTTCTTAAGAGAGTTGGATTTTTAAAAAATGACTTCTGTTCCTTCCAAGCATCGTGCAATAAGTAGATTGTCCATCCTGTCATAGACTCCCAGAGCTCGGGGTATCTCCAGGCGAGTGTGGAGAGCAGGGTCCTTGCCTCTTCTAAAGAGAGCGCATCTCTTGGGAGAGACAAGGAAATGACCCATATCTAACTTTTATATCATGTTAAGTGTGTGTTATTTAATATTTTTATCTTGATTTTCTATCTATAAAGATTTTACCATCATGCTTCAGTCTCCATAATGTCCAAATAGTAGTTATGAATCCACCCTCTACATCGGGTTCCAGTGGGCCACATTCAGAGCATGAGCAGCACCCATTGTCAGGGACCTACCTTCCCCCCAGCCTGACAGTTCACTGAGAACTTACTGCAAAGACAACCACAGCTCTTGCACTGGGCAGACACCATGGTGCCCTTCATTCTGTGACCCCTCACAGCTTCCCGTGACTCCTGCTCTGGAAGGGTTTCTTCCCAGGTAAGACATAATGGCCTCGGTTTCTTCCCTTCACCTCGCTGCTACTTAGAGATTAGGTAGTTCTCAGCATGCTCCAGCTGACTGCAGCTCTCCCATAGCTCTGCAAGGGAGGAGGTTGACACCCAGACCTCAGCAGCACTGGGGTTCACATTACCTAAGGCTCTTTCTTCATGCCCCAGCCCATCTGTCCCAGCTTACCCCATCTGTTTCGTATGGGTGGAACTCAGGCCTGACCTGAGAGCACAGGCAGTGTATGGCTGTGAAGGCAGCCACGTGTCCAGCAGGGCAGAGGGCAGCGGGGAGCCCCGCCTGGCCTGCAAGGACAGCGGCTCCTCTCCCTCTCCCTCCTCTCCTGTTGCTGTGGAGAAACAGACTTGGAGTTGCTAAAGTTTTGGTTTTTCCGGATACCAGAAATTTGGGTCATTTTATGCCATTTTTCTAGTTAGAAATGTGGGTAGTCAATCCAGACATGCCCACTGAACAGGCGGAAGTGACCTGTAGCCTCTAGGCTGCCTCTCACAGCCTCTGCTGCGGTCTGTAAACTGTAACATGAGGGCTGGCTTTTTGTTTGTTTGTTTTTGTTTTTGTTTTTTTCGAGACAGGGTTTCTCTGTGTAGTTCTGGTGCCTGTCCTAAATCTGGCTCTGTAGACCAGGCTGGCCTCGAACTCACAGAGATCTGCCAGCTCTGCCTCCCGAGGAGGGCTGGCTTTCCTGGCCACCAGAAGCAGCCTCTGAGCCAACCCTGGAAGGCAGCGATCACCTGCCCTGAGGTCACTGTCAGTCTCCTCCCGTGTGCTCTGTGGGAATGACCAAGGTGCAGGTTTCCTCCCGGAAACAGCACCGTCAGTCAGGTTCTCCAGGTCAGGTTGCCTACACTGTGTGCATGGCAAAGGGCCAGCACTCCAGAAACTCTGCCCACTTATCTGTCCATAAAACCCTAAATGCCACATGGCTGCTGGAGTTCAGTCAGTCCTGAGTGCTCCTCAGGCCGAAGCTTCCAGGTGGAGGCCAAGGAAACAGCAGGAGGTGCCCCACAAAGCCCCTCGTGAAACCTGGGGTCAGAACATTCTGCTCCCATAGGCAAATGCATCCTGTCTCAACGCTTGTCCTGGCCGGTTTTGCTTGTGGGTCCCATCGCCTTGCGCAAGTCAGCCCTGCGTCCAATCCAGCTGTTCTGTCCCTCCTTCCCTGTTCTTCCTTCCTGCCTGCGTACCCCACTTCCCAGGACCGAGAGGATGAAGGTCCTGTTGGTGAGCAGGCCCCGCCCCAAGCTCCATTTGCAGGAGGCACCGTGGTCTCGGCATGACGGTTCTTACTTGCCAAAGACTCGAGTCCAGTGTTGCACACAGTCGGGACTATAATCACAGTGTGGGGTGCTCCCCTGCCCCCAGCGAGTCCTCCACAGCTCCCGGAGCCTCTTGTAGTCTCCTTTCCTTCTTTGTGCTAGTTGAATGTGACCTGTGCTCCTACAAAACAATGCTGCACAGACAGAAGGAGACGCATGGCACGCCCGGTGTTTGCCTGCGTCGCTCCTTCGCCTGCACCGGCCCCCGTTGTCGTTAAACATCCGGTTCCCGACGTTACTGTCCCCTCATGTAAAACCATTGTTCTGGAAATTGTCCCTGCCAGTTATGCAATAAACAGTCTCTTCAAGTGCCTGTGGTCACTTTGCTCTCCTCCAGCTGCTGGACGTCTCCAGACACTGGGTAGGGGTGGGGAGGCCCTCACGCCACTGTATCTCTGAGGAGGGGAGGTTTGAGTCTCCCCACCTTGGGGCACCCAGCTTAGCCTTCGCTTTCCTGTGTTTAGCATGCAGCCTGTGTGTTTTGTATTTGAGGCAGGGTCTCAACCTGTATAGCTCAGGCATTCCTTGAGCAGTCATCCTCCTGCCTCAGCTTCCTGAACACTGGAACTACAGACATGTGCCATCATGCCCACCCTGGTGCACTTGGCCCTTTCATGTCTAGGTCGTCCCAAGCCAGCCTAACTCACATGGCCTCACCCCTTCCCAGCAGGCAGTCAGGTCATAGAAGGAGTTCGAGCTGAAGGGCAGCAGTCTTTTCACTTCCGGCTGCGTGGGGGCCGTGTGCTTGGGTCTGTCGGGGCCACCCAGTCTTCTGGAGAAGTGACTTGGTACTTCCGGTAGAAGGAGGAGGGGACACGACTATCTCCAGGCCTCTCCAAATGAAGCCTCAGAAAGGCAGGACGTTACTCCCTGCTAGGGAGGGCATCTAGGGAGAGCCCGCAGTCGGTCACACCCAACAGCTCACCCCCAGAGTGCTTCCGGGTCAGGTTCCCAAGAAGCCCTGTGGAGTTGCTGAGCCATACGAGGCTGGCCCGGCTGTGCGGGTGCCCCTGGGGCTGTTGCTGCTGCCCGTCTGTACCGCGCCGGACGACACTGCTGTAGATGCTCGCGGGTCTGCACACACAGCACTCCTCTTGATCATGACATGATTCCAGCTGCTGTTGGCGATCGACCGTGACTGTTGGCACTGCTCAGTTCTTTACGTGGGTGACCTCTTCCAAGTACTGGTGAGATAACTCAGCCGTAAAGGCACTTGCCTCCAAGCCTGATAAGCTGAGTTTGAAGCCAGAACCCAGAACATGGCCGAGAACACCAGCTTCCTTGAATTGTCCTCCAAAGCCATGAATGCCCCGGGGCGTGTCCACACCCACAGACACGCACAGGATAGATGGCCACTTCAGTCTTCAGCAACCTATGGAGGAAGATGCATTTCCATTTGACACAAGGCGGGGCGTCCCCGCCTGGGGACGGTGAGGACCCTGACAGTCTGTCCAATGAGGCATCTTTGAGAATGTGGCAAAGCAGACGGCAGCTCTGGAAGCCTCGAAGCCCCACTGCCAGGGTGCCACGAAGACTGCTCAGCTTGTGACCCAAAGCCTGGGGTCTCCCCAGCAGGGGCTGTGCTGAGCGCCTCAGGCCCTCCTCCTACCTGGACTGTCCGGTGTCGACTGCTGAGCTTCGGCCATGCCTCAGCACTGTGAACATGCCCTCCGTCTGTAGGCCAAGCACAGGCCACCTCACACAGGCACCCAAGGGACCTGTCTGCCTCCCAGCAGGCCAGGAGTGGGAGGTCGTCCAGGAGCAAGTCCAGAGGGCGCCCACCTCTGCCCTCTGACCATGGCGCGCTCTCCACGCTTCAGGCCATACAATCCTTCCACCTGCTTTCCACTTACAGGGCATTGGCCATGAAGCAGGTCTCCAAGAGAGGCAGCCATGGCCTTGGCTCTGCACACCGGGCTCCTGCTCCCCACCCCACACACCCCACAGCTTCCTCTCTTCCCAGGTTCCCAAACTGTTCACACTCACTCAGAACTTAGTCCAATTTGTCTCCCAAATGGGGCATCTCTCCAGCGACTCCAGCGACTCCAGAGCCCCGGCCTACAAAACCCCCTCTTCCCAACACCTCCCCTCCTTGGAGTCATCCTCCCTTCCTGTCTGCCTCTCTCGGATCCACTTTGGTCAGCCTCTCCTTCAAAAGCCCAGGCTGACACTCACCTAGCCTTGGCTTCTGTTTGCTAGCCCTGGCTACTTGTGTTTGCTAGCCTTGGCTACTTGATGTTTGCTAGCCTTGGCTACTTGTGTTTGCTAGCCTTGGCTTCTTCTCTTTGCTAGCCTTGGCTTCTTCTCTTTGCTAGCCTTGGCTTCTCTTTGCCTACTCTAAGCTCCATCTCATGCCCGGAACCTAAGAGATGGGCACATTTTGAACCTGCAGTTTGACCTGTCAATCCAGAACCCTGCTTCGGTACTCCTCCAGTACGGTCTACAGTGCCCCCCACGCCCAGAGACCGTGCCAGGGTCTCTATATCTTGCAGCCAGTTATCCAACACCCGGGAACTAGGAATTGAAATCTCCCCATTCTGCAGATGAGGAGCCTGAGGCTCAGACCTTCCAACACGGGTAGTCATGGAGCAGCCCAGAGTACAAGGCCTGTGCTCTGAACCAAGGCGAATGGACATCCCGTATAGACAGCAGACCTGTCTTTATATATAAGGAGGAGGCCAGGAGGGGGTCCAGACTGGCTCCCACCCCCCAGTCTGTTTTGTCTGCCAGTGCCACACTTTCCCCACGGGTTTCTCATCGGTTCTGGTTGCTGGACACCGAGGCATCCCTTACCTTCTGCTGTTAGACACCGGTCTCAGTGAAGCCACTGCCCAGTTCACCAGCAGGAATGGTCTGAGGACCACAGGTCCCACGGGCATGTTGACAGGAGCTGAGGAGAGGAGAAGCCCCCACCCCGGCCCACGCCAGGCTCCTGTATCCTGAGAGGAGGGCCATCCCCAGGCAAGGCCGAAGAATGAAGGATGGCCGGCGCCTGGTTAAAATGGTCACAATTCTGCCCACACCTCTGGCAGACCCACGGAAGGCATCCCCTGGAAGGCTAGGTCTCCTCATTTCACAGACAGAAGACCTGGGCCCAAGAGGAGTCATCTGACTGCTGTGTGATGGGCACTGACCGGAGCCAGAGCCTGGGCCGAGGAGGGCTGGGCGCTCTCCCTCACTGAATGTGACTGCCACAGCTGCAGGGTTACGAAGTATCTATCCACTTGTGACCCCAGGCCCAGGTGGAGGAACCCACGCAGTCTTTCCAAGGCCCTGTGGGCCCTCCATCCTCTAGACTTCAGGACAACTGACAAAGCTTGTGTGCATCTCCAGGGCCAGTTTGGCTTCACAGAACATGTGAAGAGGCCCCTGAGACTGGCATACACTCCATGTATGGATAGGCATAGTATCTTAAGGCAGGTTATTGTATCTGCCAGTAAACTGACTTAGCAAACTATCAGCCTTAGATAATTTGTGCTGATACATATTCTTATATATTTAATACAAATGTAAACTCTCCTTACATTCCTATTTAAGATAATTGTATATTGATACAAATACAAAATTATATTTGTTGTATTGTACACATGTTCCTACTCCTATTTGAAATATTTTTTATATTAATACAAATGTAAAGTTACATTCGCCATACTGTATGTATGTTCTACCTCTGTTTAGGATATTTTGTATATTGATACATATTAAGGATATTGTTATCATATTGTACTATACATTTCTACCTCAATTTAAGATATTTTGTGTATTGTCACAATTTTGAGGTAATTTTCCTTATACTGTACATCTTCTTACAGATTGTTTACCTTGTTAATGTGTAGCCTTAGTCCTTAGGTTATTTAGGTAGATAAGACTTACAGAATTAGCCGGTGGTGGTGGTGGCGGCGGCGGCGGCGGCGGCGGCGGCGGCGGCGCACGCCTTTAATCCCAGCACACGGGAGGCAGAGGCAGGCGGATCTCTGTGAGTTCGAGGCCAGCCTGGGCTACCAAGTGAGTCCCAGGAAAGGCGCAAAGCTACACAGAGAAACCCTGTCTCGAAAAACAAAACAAAAAGACTTACAGAATTATAGTCACCCATGCTTGATATTTCTATAATTATGTTAGGTTGTCCAGATTTACAGAAACATATGTCAGATGGATAGGTAATCTTCAAACACTTCATAGGCCTAGAGAATATGGCATTTAAGTGTTTTGATAACTTAGAATTCTGTTGACATGAGACACGATTGCTCCTGGCAGCACAGATCTGATCCCGAGAGAATGTTGGGCTTCTAAAACATTTCCATTTGGAAGTTTGTCGTCTTCTTGGCACAAAGTGGCCTGCTGGGCAAAGAACTTCCCTTGCCTTGACTGCTGACAGTACGAATGCTGTTCTTTCTGGATGAGCAGGACACAAGGAAAAGCGACTACTGAACTCTGCCAAGACAGGGTAAGATGGTCTTTCAAAATTCCTGCTTCTGAAAATGGTCTGTCAGATTGTCTAGGCCTGTAGACAAATTGGATGTCCCAACAATGCTGAGAAACGTTAGGTGACTGTCCAGGCTGCCAACTATCTCTGTCTATTCTCATAAGAACTTCAGAAATTGCTTGCTTGCATTTTCTGTTTTCTCAGGTATTATTATGTTCCTTCTCAGGTCTTTGATGGGATTGAAGACTAGCTAGTTACAGTTTCAATCTTCTCGTATCTTAGCTAGAACATATTAAGTACTAGAGCTAGAATCTTCACGATAGGACAGCTACTGGAGTAATCTCGGAAATTTGCCATTTACCTATGATCTGGACATTTCTGGACATTCAGCATGTCTTTCTCGTTTGGTGTTGTTCTTGTTGGTTGTAGTTCCATTTCTGTTTATGTTATTGCCCTTTGCTTTTCCTGGACAATATTTGATAATCATTCTTATTGTATATAGTTTGCATTAAGTTTAGAACCTTCTTATTTAGACAAAAAGGGGGAAAGTAGTGGTATTTGCTCCGCCCATGACCTTGGGCTATAGGGCTCAAAGGAGGCGGTACTTCCTGCCATTGTATGTGGCCTCTTATAAAGTAAGGGAGAAGAGTCACGAGTCCTTCTCCCTGCTGCCTGCTTCCTGGTCAGATCAGAGGATGACTTCAGCTGTCTACTCCGTTCTGTATTCATGAGTGTATCTCCTCAGTTTATATCTCAATAAATTCTGTTACCCATTAAATCGACTCACATGGATTGATGTGACAGGCCTGGCCCTGACAGGAGACTCCCACACTCTCACAGGAATTTTCCTGCTGGAGGCATGCCATAGGAGCTCGGGTAACTTTAATTATCTCCAGTGTTTGCCTCTTACATCATCTGTTTTTCACATTTATTATCTTTTTATTTACAGAAGTCAGCTTGCAGGAATCAGTTCTCTCTGTGGGTCCCAGAGGTTGGACTCAGCGGCCAGGCTGGGCAGCAGGCTCTGCTGTGTGCTGAGACATCTCTCCAGCTCGGTTTTATTTTTAAAATTGCGTTTCAAAGGCTACAGCTGTTTTCTGTGGGGAAATATAGACAAATACCCAAAATGAAAACAACGTGGATAGGGATGTAGCCCAGTTGGTGAGTGCTTGCCAAACATACAAGGCTCTGGCTGGATTCTCCCCAGCAAAATATAAACCAGGCTGAGCAGACACACGCCAGAATGAAAAACACCATTTACCCTGTTAGAAATCACCATAATGCATATTGCTTCCTTAAAGTTGGAATTCTGTAATTACTGCTTTCGAGACACTTTTTTTTTTTTAAATTTTATTTTACAATACCATTCAGTTCTACATATCAGCCACGGATTCCCCTATTCTCCCCCCTCCCACCCCCTCCCCTTACCCCCAGACGACCCCCCATTCCCACCTCCTCCAGGACAAGTCCTCCCCCGAGGACTGCGATCAACCTGGTAGACTCAGTCCAGGCAGGTCCAGTCCCCTCCTCCCAGACTGAGCCAAGTGTCCCTGCATAAGCTCCAGGTTTCAAACAGCCAACTCGTGCAATGAGCACAGGACTTGGTCCCACTGCCTAGTTGCCTCCCAAACAGATCAAGCCAATCAACTGTCTCACCTATTCAGAGGGCCTGATCCAGCTGGGGGCCCCTCAGCCTTTTGTTCATAGTTCATGTGTTTACATTCATTTGGCTTTTTTTTTTCAATAATTGAGTAAATCGAAATTTATTATAAGCCACAGTCGTCCTAGGGACCTCCATGCTACATATATAGCCTCTGTGGTTCTATGGTTTGTGGTCTGATTGTTCTTTATTTTATATCTAGAATCCACTTATGAGTGAGTCCATACCATGACTGTCTTTCTGGGTTTGGGTTACCTCACTCAGGATGAGACACTTTTTAACCTATCCAGGCATGACTAGTCTCCAGAACTTGGTTTACAAGTCTGCTGCTGTCTTGGTGTGTAACACCCCAGCCTCCCAGGTTGGGCACCTCAGTGAGCTCTCACAGACCAGCACGTGAGCCATGTCTTTGCCCCAGGCTCTTTCCAGGCCAGGATGCAGGGTGGCATGTTCCAGGAGGGCTTCTGGGAGGTCACTGCAGGCCAGTGACTCTGACTGGAGGTGTGAGATTGTAAAAGTTCTGACCACATCGTGAGAAGATGGGGTGAAGAGAAGTCCCTGTCACCTGGAACCGTGATGAGGTGGGAGACTCTGGGACCCCAGGTTCCTGTCAACTGTGCACTTAGAACACAGAAGGGCAGATGGATTTCTGGGTTGTGATGGAGTCTGGACTCATCTGGTGACGGCTGAGCAGAGACCCTGAGGTGCCTGTAACTCCATGGTGGGGATGTAGGAGTTGGAAGTGAGGCTGCAATCCCGTGAGGTACTGATGTGGAAACCAGGGTCTGCCTCATGTCACCCGAAAGGCCTGGGAGGTGTCTAGGCCTGACCCTGCAGGGCTGCACTTCTGAGGTGACAGCTGGAAGAGACCGGTGTCACTGCAGGTGCACTCAGAGCAGCTCACGTCTTGATTTTCATGCATGTGTGTGTGCGCGCGCGTGCGTGTGCGAGCGAGCGTGTACGCACACACATGCAGCTACTTGCGGAGTCTGATCTCCCCTTCCACCATATGTTCTTGAGGACTGAAATCCTTAGGCTTGGCAACAAGTGCCTCTATCCACTAAGCCATCTTCCTGGCCTCCGAGAAACCAGTTTCTATCCACAGCCCAGAAAGGTCCAGAACAACTATGTGTGCTGGAAGCCAGAAGCAGAGCTGTGGCCAGTGAGGTCTAGATGCCCAGTGCGGTCTTGGGAGTGACCGGTCAAGTGGTGTCAAGGACAGCATGGCCCAGCGTGGGGACTCTGACGAGAGAGCTGCAGATGTGGTGTGTCTCCTAAGACGAGCACCGTAGGGCCGCGCAGCCTGGGGCCCTCCAGGACTCTGAGGGCTGCAGATGTGGGGGTCACGTGGGGTCACACAAGGAACTGTAGAAAAGCCCATTTCAATAGAAAAAGGCGGAGACAAAGGAAATGAGAGAAGGAACAGCAGTGTACGCGTACGTCAGCCTCGTGCAGCGGAAACAAAGGAGCTGTAGCTGGTGTTGGAGAAGCATGTGACTGTGTCCTGGTGACTGTCAAGTCCCCTTCCTCAGATAAAGACACTGAGGTCAGACTCCACATGGCTGAACCCAGGCCAGGTCATAGACAAAGAACCGCAAGGCCAGTGGTTTTCAAAAGTATCACACTAGTCCTGCAAGCGATACTTATTTCATGAACTGAAGGCTCCCTAAAACCCAGACGGCAGGAAAACACTTTCTGTCCATACACAGGGCTACGGCCGGGTGGGGGTGGTGCACACCTTTAATCCCAGCACTCCACAGGCAGAGGCAGATGATCTCTGGTTTGGTCTAGAGTTCCAGGACAGCCAAGGCTACACAGAAACCCAGTCTAGATAAACCAAGAGAGAAAGAAAGGGGCTGTGTCTCCTTCCTGGCGCGCCATGGTCTATGTCATGCAATGCTGTGTGTCCATGGCTGAGTCCACCGTCTGACTCCTGCCAGGGTTCGGAGCCAGCCAGGGACCTTCCCTAGGGAGACTATGCCAAAAGCCCCGCCGAGGACAGGCTGTATAGAGCATCCATCACTGCATGGCCATAGTGGCCACAGAACGACTGTGAGGGGAACCTGCCGAAGACATCTCGGACCACGCTGAGTCACACAGGGTCGTGTGCTGCATGATGATGTGCTGTAACAGGCAGGGAGGACTGACTACTGGGGTCCCGGGGTGCAGAACCCAGGGTTGGCCTGTGGAAGTTGAGTTTGCACCGTGATGAAGCCACACGCTCCCCACAGCACACTGCTGCCCTCGGTGACTGCACACACACACACAGAGGCAGCTGGAGGCGTGAGCTCTTACAAGAACATGACAGCGCTGACTTTAGAAAGAGCGTCTTGACTCCGTTTGTAGAGGAAGTGTTCCAAACATTTCAAACCAGAGGCCAGAGAGACGGGTCAGCAGTTCAAGGCACTTGCCACACAAGCCTGATGACCCTAGTTCAATTCCTGGGGCCTTCATGAAGGGAGAAGGGAATGTACACAACTGTCCTCTAATCCCATGTGCACACCACCACACACACCATCACACAAAAGCATGCGTGTATACACACGCACACACATGAACACACACACGATGAGAAAACAGAGAACTAGTGGGACATCATTTTAATGCCAGAAAAACAATGCTTGTCCAGTAAACCTTCGATACCTGTGTGCAGTGTCTGTCCACCGGGTTCTGCCCTGGAGCAGTGTGCAACCACTAGTGATTTTCTGTGGTTCCGGGAGAAATAAGAGGGAAAAGCCATGTGGGCAGAGTGCCGCACACCTTTAATGCCAGTACTCAGGAGGCAGAGGCAGGTGATCTCTGAGTTCGAGGCCAGCCTGGTCTACAGAGTTCCAGGACAGGCAGGGCTACACAGAGAAACCCTGTCTCGGAAAACAGGAGGGGAGAGAGAACCATGTTCACAAGAGAAGTGAGAGTAACCTGTGCGATGTGACCAGTGGAAGACCCGTGATGTGGGCTGTCCGCATCAACCTGCCCAGCACCCACCGGCAGCAGTGACAGCCTGAGCTTTCCTTCACGTTAGTGAGCATCTGAAAAGTGCCTAATGGAAATGCTGCTCGGGGACCACATCCGAGAGCTCCAGTGGGAAGTGCAGAGGCTGGGCTGGGGTTCCACAGCGGAGGAGGAAAGGGACGTGGCCCACAGACCTGGGCTGTCTCATAAGCTCTGGGTTTCCATAACCAGAGACGAGACCCTACAACTGGCTGGAGTTTACTGGGGTGCGGAACCCCAGAGGAAGGGCGTGGGAAAGTACAAGTCATAAACCTAACAACTGTTGCTGCAAGGAGCCACAGCTGTGGGCAGAGGTGAGTCGGGCCTGTGTCACACGGGATCCAACAGTGGGGGAAATGGGGTCAGCTGTGATTGATTCCATTTCTCCAGGGTCGCATGCTCCTCTGGGCACATAATTCCCACAGGGCTGCACACAGGCCTGCCCTGGACTCTGGAGGTCCTAGTCACGCCCCTGCCTTTACTAGGCTAGCCAGCCAGGTGCCCTTGACGACATGTGTTCTAATGCTCTATGGGCTTCTTTTCTTCTTGGTGGGGCTGGGGCTGGGATGAGGACCAGACAGGTTCTAGGGAAGCGTTCCACACTGAACTACGCCCCGGCCCCCCATGGGAATTCTCACAACACTGCAGAACAAGGAGCTCCTTTGCCGGGTCTTTGCAGAACGCACGGCAGATGAAGCCCAGACTGCCGGGCTCTTCCTTTGGGGCTACGCAGCTAATGACCTGAAATAACTACACCAAGACCCTGCGAGTCTGCCTTCAATAGAATAACTTATTAAATGGCAACTTTAAAACCCGAAAGGTCCTTCCTCTCTGTGACTGGTCCTCCCTAGAGCTGACATGTACAGGGAACCTACATATCCTGTGCTGGGAATACAACTTGTTCTCGGTAGCTCTGAAGTCTATGCAGAAAGCATGGATGACCTCTGGACAGTGCTGCAAACGTGGGTCGGGGTGAGGAAGGCAGGGGAGGCTCTCACCGGGCGCTGCACACCTATGGCATCTTCACATTCCGCTGGACCACGATGTCCTGCCATGGCCAAACTACCCAGCAGCGCCCTGAGCCCTGGCCAGAACAAGCACTGTGCAGATGTCTGGAGCTGTCTATCAAGTCCGGCATGCTCCTCTGTGCTCAACGTCAGTCCCAGGCAATTCTGGGGTGTCCATAAGGCTGAGAAAGCAAGCAAATGATTAATCGGGTCAGCAGTCTGGAACTCTGGGAACTGACCTCTCGCTCTAGTAGGAGCACACGAGTGACTTTTCACTTGCAGCTGAGAAAGCCCTGACTCTGAGCCACGAGTGAGGCACTCTGTGACTGGCCCTGAGACACTCTGGGTGATCTGTGAAGCCCTGGCCCCGGCACCCTGATGCATGCTCCAGTGACTTTGGAAACGCTGTCTCCTGTACTCGGAGCCCTCTGCCTGGTCTGACTCTGAAGTCTTAGTCCACCCCGGCCCCTGGCTCTCTACAGGGAAGCCGTCAGCCCTCTCTCCAGCACACACCCCTCAGAATGCAAGGAGCCAGGTGGCCTGAGTCCCTCTAGCTGCTGCAGAGAGCCTAGTCAGCAGGTCCCTCCCAACAGGCACGACAGCCTCCATGGTGCCCTGCTCAGGGCTCACACAAGTCACTCAAGAGCACCACATAAGGAGCACAGAGAGATGAAGAGCAGAGGAAAAGGGGGGCGGCACAGAGAAGTAGGTCCCGGTCACCTGGCTCCACCTGGTCCCACGGTCACCTCTCACTAGCTATGGCCTTCATTCTTCAGGTGCAACATCAGCAGTCAGGCTTTCCGTCTTTGCAAAGCCTGAAGCGGCGGGAACCAGAGCAAAACCACTCCGGCCACTTGAGGTCCAATCAAGGAAAGGCCTCTGCACTGAGGCCGTCAGCAGCCGCACAGACAGACACAGGGAGGGACAAGAGAGCCCAGGATGGGGCTGCGGCGGCCAGTCACCTGGCAAGTGCCTACCTTGGGCCGGTAGCCCTCCTCAGCCATGGCCTTCGCCTCCTGCTGCAACAGGGCATCCGAGAGCCGTTCTGCCCGCTGGACCTCCTCCTCTTCCGCCTCCGCCTGCTGGGCTGCTTCCCACGCCTGGAGCTGGCGCTCCGCAACCTGAACACCAAGAACAGAGTCACCAGAGACCAGACCCGTGGGGCAGAGCCCTGCCTCTGAGCCAGGAGGCAAATGCCAGCAGCCAGGATGGGAACCTGAGACCATGGAGATGGCGCTGTGGACCTTGTGAAAGCTCTGGGTGCAGCCATGTGTTTGGAGAACAATGGAGGAGAAAAAAGTAACCGTGACATCAGCGTGGTCCCCACAGAGACTAAGGAACCAGAATGGAGCCTGTGCCACGGAGCCATGGCTCAGCAGTTGGGAGGACAAACTGCTCTCCCAGAGGAGCCAAGTTCAGTTCCCAGCAACCGCCGGTGAGTGGCTCTCGTGCCTGTGACTTAGCGCCAAGAGATCTAGTGCCCTCTACTGGCCTCGTTGGGCACTGCACACAAGTACACAAACCCATATTCAGACACACGCATGCACATAATTCTTTTGAAGTGTCAGGGCTGCTACAGAAACCAAAAGGGATTTAGATATGAATGAGGAAAGGAACTGAGTCATGGAACTCTGAGCTCTGTTCTTCAGTGTCCCGAGAACCCTGCAGAGCCTGCTGCCTCCAGGCCCTGACCTACAGAGGCTGCCCTGGCCCTCGGCGCCCACCTGGGCTTCCAGCTCCTGCTTCCTGGCTGACTTCAGCTCCTCTCTCTCCTCCTTTGCACGCTGAGCTGACTGCTTTGCCTCCTCCAGACTCTGGATGAGTTTTTCCCTGTGTTTTAGGGTTTCCTCTTGTGCCCTCCGGTTCTGTTCGATCTTTTCTTGTATCTGCTGCTGCCTCCCCATGAGAACCTGGCCAAGGGGAAAAGAAGGTTTGCATTTCAGTCTAAGACACCCGTTCTAAGCTTCACATGGGCCGCAGCCACAGGGTACCAATCCAGCCTAATCCTCACACACGGGCAGCAGACCGAACCACAGGCCCAGTGGGCCACTGCCCTTCCCAGCCATGCCACCCGCCCTGATGAGTTCCGTTTCCAATGCTCCACGATCAGTTGAAAATGCCTCCATGGGTTGGCAAGTCAGAGGGGGATTTTCCTGGTTAATGATTGACATGGAAGAGCCCAGCCCACTGTGGGCGGTGCTAGCCCTGGGCAGATGGTCCTAAGTTGTACAGGAAAGCAGGCTAAGCCAGTCATGAGGAACAAGCCAGTGAGCAGCACCCTCCATGGCCTCTGCTTCAGCTCCCGCCTCCAGGTTCTGCCCTGACTTCCTTTGGTGATAGACTGTGACCTGAGAGCTTTAAGTCTCAATAACCCTTTCCTGTCCAAGCTGCTTTAGGTCATGTGTCTTATCACAGCACTAGACACCCTGGCTAAGACACCAACCTACAGGACACAGCAGTGTCATGGGGGAAACACTGGGGAGGCCTCTCCACAGGCCGCCAGGACGCAGTCACGCATCCTCGATGGCTCCAAGCAACAAACACCTGCTGCTGTTTCGAACTTGGACCTTGGCCCAGAGCACTGAGATGTCCCAACCCCAGCCAAGGAACCAAGAAGCCACAAGACATGCCTAACGCCTGCACCGTCAGGAGGGGGACATAAAGTGGCCACCACCAGGGGGAAACTGAAGTGAGGAAGTTCGAAACCCACAGGGAATCTGCTACACACAAGTGAGCACCAACCGACCAGCCAGCGTGGCCTGATTTCCAAACATGGGGCTCACCGTTCCAGCCCGCCTCAGCACAGCTGTCTGTGCAGGACAAGGACCTGACAAGGACCTCCCGCCAGGTCCCTGCACCCCTCACATGCGGCTCCTCTGCTGGCTGCTGGCCCCGGGGGACACGGACTCCTTCATGAAGGTGCCTCCGAGAATACCCACTCGAGGAGGAGGAAGGGCGGGCTGCAGCCGTGTGGTGGTCACGGATAAGGAGCTGAGGTGTGCTAGCGAGAATGCTCGGAATCAATAAACAGCACGTTGGGGAAAACCGTGTGTAGCTAAGAAGCCGTGCACTGGGGCCAGGACACAGAGCAGCAGGAGGCTGTGGGGGAGAGGACTGGGGACTTCCTGCATGTTCTTTCTGTACGTTGCGATCCTTTTAGTAATCCTGTGCTACTTACACAGTGACTTCAACGCTACTTAAGACAACCAGAGCCGGGCGGTGGTGGCGCCCGCCTTTAATCCCAGCACTCGGGAGGCAGAGCCAGGCGGATCTCTGTGAGTTCGAGGCCAGTCTGGGCTACCAAGTGAGTCCCAGGAAAGGCACAAAGCTACACAGAAACCCTGCCTCGGGAGGAAAAAAAAAAAAAAAAGGACAACCAGAGCAGGCAAGTTGGTGGGGCTGCCCATCCCCGTGGGACCAACGGCCGTCCAAGTCCCCATGTCTGGAATCACCTCACTCATCAGTCCCCATGTCTGGAATTACCTCGTTCATCAGTCTGTCCCTCGCACTCTGCTCTCGAGCCCACTCCGCTTCTCTCCTTTCCCACATCTCCTTGGCCTCCTCCCTGGACAAACACAAAGGGGACACAGAGGTTGTGCGCCACCACCAAAGGCAGGGATGGACGGCAGAGCGGGCACACACAGCTGCCCTGCTCTAGACACGCCCATCCACACCAGCTCTCCAACGATGACGGCTAAGGACAGCACTCCGGTAGCATTTTAGGTCATCATTTAATACTTCATCTCCTTAAATTAAAAAAAAAAAAAAAGTACCACAGCCATTTAGCACTAAGGTAAATAAAACCATCAGGACCAGAGATGGGAAGGGTGAGAGCACTAACCTGGGCCGACCACCACCCTCCCAGGATGGCTGCCAGCTCACCTGGCAGCAGCTAGCCACCTCCTGGGGTCTCCCCAAGTCATGTACCCACCACTAGGCTGAATGTCGGGGACCAATCACCGTGTCTGCATATCAGTATGGATTGCCTGTTATTTGGCTATTTCCATCTGTGAGCTGGACTTTTAGGCCCCAAAGCTGGGCGCATAGGCCAGCAGTCCTAAGCCCCTGGGCCCTGAGGAGCTCAGGAGCGGGGACCAGCCAAGGCAACATGGTGGGACTGTCTTCAGGAGCACATTGGGATCCAGGCTGGTTTTTACGGAGCTTAGAAAAATTAAACTGATGGGAACAGTCTCGTCACGTGGTTTAAAGACTTTAGGTGAACGCATTATTACTCTGAACCATAATGACTTCCACCGTGAATAACGTGAGGTCACTACCCCAACCTACTAGCAAAGACATGGTCCCTAGGGATGATGAGTTACAAGGACAGATGTTTCGGAACAAAAGTGGCCTGCCCAGTGACCTGAGGGCACCTCACAGAACCAGAGCAGAGGCCAGCAGCTGCCCCTCACCTCAGCAGCAGCTGCAGCTCTGCCTCCCGAGCTTTCTCGAGCTGCAGCTGCTCCTCGATGACCTGCTTCATCCAGGCTGCATCGGCCAGGGCCTGCTCCCGCCTGGCCAGCTCGACACGCTGCAGTTCGCCTTCCTTCTCCAGGAGCGCCTGCAGGATCCGCCCGTCTGCCTCCTAGAGGGGGGGGCGTGGAGGTCAGACAGAGGAGCCCACCTCCCTACACAGCCCCTTCTGTGTGTCCCAGACACGGCCATGTAGGGCCTGAAGCATTCTCAGGACAGAGGGAAGGGGCTGGACTGCTTCTGGGTAACCACAAAGGTCCGCTGTAGACACTGCACTGCTCGTTAAGGCCCATTCACACCCGCATCACTGGCATCGTTTTTCCCATCAAGAATACCTAAGGAATGGGCCGAGAGATGGCTCCGAGGGGGAAGCATTTGCCACATAAACCTGACAACCTGAGTTCAATCCCCAAAACTCACAGAAGGAGGGACAAACTGCCCCCGAAAGTTGACCCCTGACCTTCATGTGCACACTGTGGCACATGCATGCCCTCCCCTGCAAACAATAATACAGCTTAAATTTCCTTTCTATGCGTTGAGTGTTCTGACTGCATCTGTGTGCACCACATGTGTGCCTGCTGCTTACAGAGGTCAGAAGAGGACGTCAGGTCCCTTTAGCACCCTGTGGCTGCTAGGAACCAAACCCAGGTCCTCTGCAAGAGCAACAAGTGACCTTAACCACTGGGCCACCTCTCCAGCCCCCAAAATTTATTATTTTTCTAAATGAATACCTAAGAACTAGGTGTGGTGGTGCATGGCTTTAATCCCAGCGCTTGAGAAGCAGAAGCAGATGGATCCCTGTGAATCTGAGGCCAGCCTGGTGGCCTCACAGCTATTCCTGGCCTGCCAGGGCCACACAGTGAGACCCTGTGAGTCTCCAAAACGAAGAACCAAAAACCAGTACCAATGGAGTCTGCCGTGGAGCTGCCCCGAGCCCTCACAGTTCAGGTACAGAACAGCACTGACAGCTTTGTCAAGTGTAACCCCACACCTGCCAATTCCTCGGCTCCTCTGTACCGTCCACCGGCATCTCTCTGCTCCCCTTTGTGTTTTAATTCTCCTGAGGATGCACTCAGGTCCTGAGCGGTGAAAATACCATTTCCAAAGGATGGAAACTGCCGGGATGGGATGTGGGCTCACTCACCAGCTCCTCCTGGATCTGCTGGGTCCGCCTGTGCAGCTGCGCATTGTACTGATGTCTCAGGAAACGCCTAAAGATGGGGAGCAAGCGGCTTCAGGGCCACAGGACCAACAACTGCTCCACACAGGCCACACCCCCTCTGGTTCTGGGGAGACCCCATGGGAGTCTGAGAGGGCAAGAGGCTTCCCACCCACCCCAGCTCCGCCTTGCGCCGGAGGGCGGCCATCTGCTTCCTCTCCTCCTCCAGCTTCTCCAGCTCCCAGCGTTGCTTCAGCAGGTTCTCCTGCTCCTTCTTCAGCTTGGTTGCCTGCGGTGACATCGGGAACCCGGTAAGATGGGCAATCACTGTCCTCACGCGTCATCTCCGTCTCTGGCGGGCTCCACATGAGCACAGCCTGGCCTCCTCCATGGGATTGAGTCCCACCTCAACTGAACTATTCCTACAAGCCTGGCCCAGCCCGAGAGACTGACTCCCTGAGCTGGCCCACACCTGCTCTGACTTAACTTCTGTTTCCTCAGCCAACACAGAAGAAGCCTTGCTCAGGCCCTATCTCCTGGTATCTAGAATTAGCGAGAGGCACTCAATTTCTAGCTACTGAAACTATGGGGCTAGGGAAAAGGGAAACGGACAGAGACCAAAGAGGCGAAGCCTCTCTCCATCTGGACAGAGACTCAGTCCTCTCAGGAAGCCAGTGTTCTCGAAGACAGCCTCCTGGACCACCACATGGCTCACACCCTGAGACCCAAACCTGCTACTAGTGGAACAGTGTGCTGGAGCATGTCCCACCGGAAAACCCGGGATCCCAGTGCACAGGTGTGTCTCTAGACCGTTAACGTCCCGAGGTCTGAGCACACGTGGGGGAGCACAGCAGAGCTGGGGCGGAGCACCCACGAGAGGGGAGCACCCAGCTCTGAGAACGGGGACCCGTCCATGGAACCCCCACCCCGCTGGCCTCGGAATGGCTGCCTCGGGCCTGGAGGGCTCCCCCTCACCTCCATCTCCTTCTGCTTGAGCTCCTCCATCTGCTGGCACAGCGCCTCAGCCTGCAGTTTGTCTTCCTGCTGCCTCCGCTCCGCCTCCGCTCTCAGCCGGTCCATCGCCTCCCTGCGCGCTGCTTCATACTCGTTTTCAAACCGCTTCTTCTCCTGCTGTTCCGTGGCTTCTTGCTACCAGAGGGCAACACTCTCAACACACAGCCAGCCGGCCGCAGGGCCCAGGGAAGCTCCGCCTGGAGCCCCTTCCCCAGCAGGGACCTAGAGCTCTCCACGTCAGGCTCTCTCCCCTCCACAAGAGAACACAATGAACGCAAAGTGACCCGTGCGTGCTGTGGACTCATCCCCAGAGGGGCTGCGATGACCCAGGGCTGAGCGCCTGGGACGCAGGTTTATGATGCTGTGGCCAGAGAGACGGCTCGGCAGTAGGGACTTCTCTGCTCTGCCAGGGGACGAGCAGAGTTCAGTTCCCAAGCACCGGCATCAGGCATCCCGGTCACCTGGAACTCCACCTCCCAGCGACCTGATGCTCTCATCTGGCCTCTCAGATACCAGTACACACGTGGCACACACTCAAACACATTTAAAAAAAAAGTAAATACAAGTGAAAACTTGGCGCTGGAGAGATGGCTCCACAGTTAAGAACACCGTGGCTACTCTTCCAGAGGACCTGGGTTCAATTCCCAGAATCTACGTGGCAGTCACAGCTGTCTATAATTCCAGTTCCAGAGGATTCAACACCCTGTTCCTGCCTCCACAGGCACCAGACATGCTTGAAGTATACAGACAGAGCAGGCAAAACACCCATACACAGAAAAAAAAACTTTTCTAAATTTTTTAATTAAAAAAAGCAGCCAAAGTGACACATGCTTACAGCTCAATCCCGGAAAGTGGAAACTGCTGAGTCCCTATAGGTCCCCAGTAGTCTACTTGGGAAAGCTACAGGCCACTGAGAGGCCCCATCTCAAAATAAGGTGGCTGGCTCCTGAGGACCATCACCTGAGGTTATGCACTGACTGCCACATGCACGCACACACACCTACATACCTACCCACACCTGCATGCATACACCCACCCACCCATGTACACACACACACACACACACACACACACACACACCCATGCACACACCTGCACACACCCACCCACACCTGTAAACCCACCCACCCATGTACACACACACACACACACACACACACACACACACACAGTTGCAGACACACACACTTGCAGACACACACCCATGTGCATACCTGCATACACACGCACACCTGCATGCACACACCTGTATCCACAGTCACATGCATGAACATGCATGTAGGCACACACAAAGCTAACGTTCAGGCTGCATGTGCCTGCTCATCCAGCCAAGAGCAGAAACAAGACACAGTGAGGGGGGGAGGAGCCACGGCACAGCATGCAAGGGGCACCCATCACACACCTGTTTTTTCTCTTCTTTCTGTGTTGCCCAGGAATCGATCACGTGCTTCTTGTGAAGGTCCAACTCAATCTGAGGGTGAGAAAGAGAGAAGATTAACTTCCCGGTGGGCTGTGTGAGACTGAGGTGACGTGCTCCTGTCTGTGCCGTCTGCTGGAACCTGACCATGACTCTCTCTGTGAACTTGGAGTGTAAGGCAACCCCAACGAGAACACTGTGAGTGAGGGCGCAGCCTGCAAACCCGAGCTCAGCCTCTGGAGCCACCTGTGGAAAAAGCAGGATGTGGTGGCATGCGTGTGTGGTCCCAGCACCTCTGTACTAAGATGGGAGGCAGAAACGGAGAACTGCCTAGAAACCCAGATGCTTGAGGGCCAGCTAGCTTGGAGTGCTCGGCCAAGCGGCATAAACAAGATAAACCCTGCCTCAGCGGGGGGGGGGGGGGGGAATGACTCAAAAAAGTTGTCCTCTGACCTCCACAGTCACCACGGCACACTTGTACCCCTCACACCTCGCACACAATAATCCATAAAATCAGCAACAAAACCAATCTGAACACTCAGCAGGTAGGAAACCAAAGGACCAGCCGCTTCTAAGCCCAGTTCACACCTTGAACAGAAGGGCCAAAGCTCGCTCCTGGAGCCCCAGGTAAGCAGGAAGCATTTCTCAGCAGACTCGGAAAAGGAACTGAGATTTGAAAGGAGAGCTCAGGAGACAGCTGGGTAAGAAACAGAGCCAGCCCCAAGCTCGGCTCACCAAAACTTCCATTACAAAGGAGCAGCTTTAGACCAGGCTGTCCTTGAACGCAGAGACCCGTCTGCCTCTGCCTCCCCAGTGCTGAGATTAAAGGAGTGAACCAGAGCCTGGTGGATGGTGTCGTGCAGAGCCTTTAACCCCAGAACTTAGGAAGCAGAGGCAGGTGGATCTCTGTGAGTTCAAGGTCAGCCTGGGCTACATAGTAAGACCCTGTCTCAAAACAAAACAAAACAAACAAACAAACAAAAAAAAGTGAACCATCCCACCCAGGTTTCTTATTTTTTACATTTTGTGCATATGCGCGTGTGTGTGCGTGTGCCTGTCAGAGGACAACTTGTGGGAGTTGGTTCTCTCCGTCCACCATGTTGGTCCTGGGGTGAAACTCTGGTCACCAGGTTTGGCAGCAAACACCTTTACCGGCTGATCCCATCTCACCTGGAAACTGCTCCTGGCCGTTTCCAGACTTAAGAAGCTACTTCAAGTGAGAGAACCTAACTCCTACAAACACTGCTGGAATGATAAACGCTATCAGTAACAGGCCTAACACCCTCCAGCCAGTCTGCTCAGTGATGGAAACCAGGACATCACTCCCGCTGTCCCCAGGTCTGCAGACTCCTGTCTCCTCCACCCCAGTCTGCCTTCACCTCAGGGGCCCAGCAGCAGCAGCAGCACCCCTGCCCAGCTGCTCACGCCAACAATGCTGGCAGAGAGAGTGCCCCAGGATGCAGCTGTGCAGGGGTGCAGCTGTGTGGGGGTGCCCGGGGATGCAGCTGTGCGGGCGTGGCCCAGGACGCAGCTGTGCAGGGGTGCCCCAGGATGCAGCTGTGCGGGGGGTGCCCCAGGACGCAGCTGTGCAGGGGTGCAGCTGGGGGGTGCCCCAGGACGCAGCTGTGCAGGGGTGCCCCAGGATGCAGCTGTGCGGGGATGCAGCTGTGCAGGGGTGCCCCAGGATGCAGCTGTGCAGGGGTGCCCCAGGAAGCAGCTGTGCAGGGGTGCCCCAGGATGCAGCTGTGCAGGGGTACCCCAGGATGCAGCTGTGCAGGGGTGCCCCAGGATGCAGCTGTGCGGGGGTGCCCCAGGATGCAGCTGTGCGGGGGTTCCCCAGGATGCAGCTGTGCGGGGGTGCCCCAGGACGCAGCCGTGGCCCTGCACACTGTTAAAGTGGTCCAATGCCTCTGAAGGAGGCCAGGCAGTGCTGCTCAAGGTCTAGCCCGTCTACTTCACCAGCTCCATCACTTCAGGACTCTACTCTTGGGCACCGTGGTCCCCCTGGCCTTTACAGCCCCCTGGCTCTGTTCTCACCCCACAGGCCAGTTCTTCAGCACCTCCATCCAGAAGGCCCTTTCTTCACTCTGTACTGCAGAACTAAAGCCAGCAGCCTGCATGCTCCTCCCCTTCAGAAACCGCTCTTAGAGATGTCCTGAGCCCACCCGCCCAGGTCTGTCTCTGCAGCCTGCTGGGAAGAGCCCCAGGGCCAAAGAGTTAGCGGCCACTGTTCAGCCCTGTCCGACCAGGCCTTCTGCCTGGTGATCTTTTTTCCTCTGTACCAACCCAGCACAAATCCAGATTCAAAAAAAAAAGCCAGGCGGTGGTGGTGCATGCCTTTAAACCCAGCACTCAGGAGGCAGAGGCAGGCGGATCTCTGTGAGTTCGAGGCCAGCCTGGTCTACAGAGTGAGTTCCAGGACAGCCAAAGCTACACAGAGAAACACTGTCTCGAAAAACCAACAAAAGGGGCTGGAGAGATGGCTCAGCGGTTAAGAGCACTGGCTGCTCTTTCAGAGGCCTGGGGTTCAATTCCCAGCACCCACATGGCAGCTAACAACTGTCTGTAACTCCAAGATCTGACACCTTCACACAGACATACATGCAGGCAAAACACCAATGTACATAAAACAATAATAAATAAATTAAAACAAACAAACAAATCTGAAAACACAATGTCACCCACCCAGGCAAAGTGATAGAAGGCCCTTAATTCTCACCTCTCGAAGTTTGGGATTGTTTTTTTTCCAGTGTTCATATAAGAGTTGTTCAGCAATCTATGGAGAAAACACAGAAGAACACCTGACGTCACTGTTCAAATCCATTCACGTAGACAAAGTACAGCAGAAGTCAGCTCAGGCCATGACCTTCTCCATTCAGCAGTGTCAACCCATCTGCCACTCAAGTCTGCTCTCCTTACACTCATAGGTCTGGGGACAGGCCATCAGAGGAGAATGGACCTAGAACTAGCGAAGAGCTGATGCTGTGGCTGGGTCCCTTCTTGGAGTTTCCAAGTACACAGCAAGTTGAAACACACAGACTGAGGCTAATGACCACAGCCACTCGATAAAAGGTCAGTGTTCCCAGACCTTCATGGGACACAGAATTGAAGAGAAGAGGAGGAATCACTTGCAGTGACTTATTCAGCAGAGAAGGGAGCTACCACACACCAAACACGCCCTCTAAAGGCATAAGTGTGGGTGCTGGCTTTTTGTCTCCCCTCATTCTTGCTGGCAAGCTCATCCACTGTCACTGTGGCTGGTATTAACTCCAACTTCTTACAGCAGAAAACCAGAAGTTAACCAGGTAGTGGTGGAGCACCTTTAATTCCAGCACTTGGAAACAGAGGTTGGTGGAAGCGGATCTCTGTGAGTTCGAGGCCAGCTGGGACTACACAGAGAAACCCTGTCTCAGAAAAAGAAAAGAAGGAAGGAAGGAAGGAAGGAAGGAAGAAGGAGGAAAGAGAGAAGAGAGAAGAGAGAGAGGGAGGGAGGGAGGGAGGAAAATGAAAAAGAAAAAATCCCCGACTCCAGCACCAGGCTGGGCGTGGAGAGACCAAGCTTCATGGGTTGAACAACTCCTGGACCCTCGGTCTGCCTGCTGTGCGACGGCACTGTCGCCGCTGTGACCACCCGGACTATGTGCCGAAGGCGCTAACCAAACATGGCTGCCCTCCCCACCCTGTACAGACCTTTAACGTTTTACCGTATCTGGTTCAGATCGTTGCTATGAGCCGGATCTGAATTACTCCTGATGCTTACATTTTAAATACTTGCTCTCGGCCAGGCAGGCTCTTCCCCTCTCATCCCAGCATGAGGAGGTCAGAGGCAGCCAGATCTCTGTCACTTTGAGGCCAGGCTGGTCTACAGAGAAAGTTCCAGGCCAACCAGGACGACACAGACCAGTTCAAAACCAACAACAAAACCAACAGCAAGAACAATTGCCCCCCAGCTTTGGCACTATGCAGAGAAGCCGCGGTGCCTTCAGGGGGTGAGGAAGTAGCTGGTGGCAGCAGCCCCCCACCGGAGCGTATCTTTGAAGGCTACAGACCAAACCCTCCTCCTCATGCGCTCCCTGCTCCCTGAACCAACATGATATGCGCTCCAGCGGGCAAGGACTCCAGGCCTTCCCCATTAGGATGGCCCGAGACCCTATAAAGTCATGGGCCAAAATAAAAAAGAGTGCTTTTCGCACGGACTGTAGAGTCCCCTGGCCATCTCATCTGACCGACCACCTCAGCCGAGAAGAGCCCCAGGGGTGGAACCTTCAGTTCAGGCTGCGGCCACGTCACCATGCGACCTTCCTCAGGTTTAGACTAGGTACCAGTTTCCTTTGTTCCTCTCGGGCTGACTTCAGATCCCGGTGCTGTGCCCGGATTCTTCGCTCCCGCAGGCTCATGCTCAGCCTCAGCTCCTCCAGCTCAGCGGCCAGCAGGTCCTGCTCCTCCAGCACCAGCTGCCTGAGTCTCTCACGCCGGACCTCCAGACTCATCCTCTTCTCCTCCCTCAGCTTCTCACGCTGGTACGCGTGCATGCTAGGTAAGGAGCCCACTGTGCGTCAGTCAAACCCAGGCCACAGTTTCCTATGCATTTCTATATCAGTAGGGGGTGGGTGGGTGTATTTAAACACAAACACCTGCAGAGAAGACGACCGCTCTGCATACATCTTATCTTTCATAATGCACGTTATTTCACTGGTTATTTTCCCCGCACACACCCCAACTTTCAGCTAAAATAGCATCACCATGTAGATTACTCAGCTGTCACAAGCCACGGTCCCTAGGCCCTGAGGCCACATCCCCCGAGCATCTATCTAGTGGAAGGAACCAGCAGGCAGGACACACTGATACTTGCCTCCGCCGATAGGAGGTCTCGGAGCTCCATTCGGCCTGTTTGGAGCTGTGGATGTCCGAAATCCTGAAATAACGGCTGTTCTCTTCCCACTGCAGGCGAAGCTGGGCCTCCTGCTCTCGCTGGCGCTGGCGTGCGACCTGCTGGTCCAGGGGTCTCCCGCTGCACCAGTAAGAGGGCAGCGTGGGGAGCGCCATCTGAAGGGGAGGGGCATCAGTGGGCAGAAACTGAGCCAGCTGCAAACGCTGGATACAACCCCCTCCCCCTCCTTGTCTGGTCTCCTCTCCTTTCCGAGGGGCGCCCGCCCCCTTTATGATCGATTTTTTAAGACGTCCACATTCCCACCCTGGAACAACTGAACGATCAAAACTTTAGAAGGAGGCCCATGCCAGCGTGTTTCCAGTGATGTGCCGCCAAGGCTGCACGTTATCAATTTAAATAAACCTGGGCTGTGGCCAGCCGTCATCGGGGGCACGACAGACACGGAAACCGCCCGGAAAAGTCTGGGAGGGACCACTGAGGACGTTTACACTCTGCAGAAAACTACACGGGCAAGCAGGGCTCGGCGGCATGGCCCCTGCAGACCCAAGGACGGACGTCGGAGGCCGGAGCAGGAAGAGACCACTCGAGTGGTCCCGGAGTTCAAAGCCGACCTGCCTCCAAAACAACAACAACAACATAACCGGAGACGACGCCCAGCACCGGACGGGCACCTGTGGACAGGCCCCGCGGCACCCCCGCCCGGCGCCCCCACCCCGGACCCCCGGGCCCAGCCTAACCTCGGGCTCGTGTTTCTCGGCCCCCCAAGTTCTCGAAGAAGCGTCGCCGCCGGCCTAAGCGCGAGCGTGCGCGCGCGCACCGGATCCGAGAGTCCCGCGGCGCCCGCCCGCCCGCCCGCGGCAGAGACGCCAGCCGTTTCCCGGGCGGTTGCCGGGCAGCCCGCGCGGGGCGACGGGGCGCCGCGAGGGCCAAAGCACCTCCGGCGCGACACCCGCCGCTCGTCGGGAAAAGGAAGCGGTGGTGGGGTTTTTTGCTCTGGCGCCCCCTCGCGGTAGGAGGGACAGCAACCAAGTGTTGCTAGTCCTTGACGCAGGGAGAAAGGAAGGACCAGAGTTCCGGGTGGAGGTGGGGAGGGGATGGAGAGGGTGGTGGCGAGCGAGCGTGGGGTGGGGATGGGGGTTGGAAGTGGAGGGAGGGCGGAAACCGACGGACTAGGATAGAGGAGAATTAAGCACATGTTTCTCAAACAAGGCACATCAGCATCAGCCCGGGAGCTGCCCCAGAGTCAAAAAAAAAAAAAAAAGAAATCAATGATTTTCAAAGCTCCCAGGGTGTCCCATAGGCAGCAGAAGCCAAGAACCGCTGGTCTCCGTCATTACAAGTCATTGGTAAATTTCTACTGTTGCCTTAGATGAGCGGGGGGGGGGGGGGTATAAGGGTTTTAATAACTGTAACTCGCCTGATTGCACGTATTTATGCGTGAACTATTCCATTCAAAAGAAAAGGCAACGCCGGGCTGTGACTATGTGCTGCTACCATTGGTTAATAAAGAAGCTACCATGCCGGGCAGTGGTGGTGCACGCCTTTAATCCCAGCACTTGGGAGGCAGAGCCAGGCGGATCTATGTGAGTTCGAGGCCAGCCTGGTCTACAGAGCGAGATCCAGGACAGGCACCAAAACTACACGGAGAAACCCTGTCTCGAACCCCCCCCCCAAAAAAAAAGGAAGGAAGGAAGGAAGGAAGGAAGGAAGGAAGGAAGGAAGGAAGGAAGGAAGGAAGGAAGGAAGGAAGGAAGGAAGAAAGAAAAGGCAGGGCTGGAGAACTCGGAGATTGTGTGTGCTCAGCATGCTCAAAGTTCTGAGTTCAATCCCCAGCACCCCCAACATAGTGTAAAAATATCCCATCATTCATTCTTTTTTCTTTCATTTTTCATCCCCCTCATCCTCCATCCCTTTGTTTCTCTGTTCCCCATGAAGGACACACACTGTTGTTGGGCCTCTACGACCAGGCAGCGTGGTAAGTGTGGCGATGCTGGGCTGGTCACCTCACCCTCTGACCCTGGGGCCTCCTAGGAGCAACCTTGTAAGAGACTAAAGGGAGGTTTAACTGGAGGGTATGGGGTCAGAGGGCGTGGGGTCAGAGGTCTAGGTCATCCCACCAGGACAAAGTGAGCGTACTTCTGCTTTCCTTCAGTTTTGAGATATTCACTGGGGGAATGCCTGCTCCAGACTTGAAGATCCTCATGGATGTCCTACACCCCGGCCATCTCCCATGCTGTATCTCCAATGAAGGGGAGGCAGCACCCCCACCCCACCCCACTCCCCACCCCCACCCTGCTGTGATCAAGCCAGAAAGGGCCGCTCAGCCATGGTAAGGAGTCCAAGGCCTGTCTGTTGGCAGAACTCCCTGAGTGTGCTGAGAACCTCAGACATGCATGAGTTAAATCCAGAGGGACCCGGCTTTGAGTCTTGATTTGTCTTGGGCAAGCCTGCTCCCCTTTCTGGGCCTCAGTTTCTCCAAAAGTACAATTGCCAGATAAACACACACTAGAGGGGCTTCAGGTCATGACTAACCAGTGTACCCTGATCCTGAGGTGCGACTTCTGGATCTCCTCTTTCTCCTCCTTTGAAACAGGGTCTTGCTGTGTTAACTGGAGCTAGAACTCAGTATGTAGCTAATACTGGCCTCACACAGGGGAATCCTCCTGCCTCCGCCTCCCAAGTTCTGGGGCTACAGGCATGTGCCTCACACACAGCTTTTACCTGGGCCTCTTTTACCGGCCGATGCGACTTCACGGCCCCCACAGTTCCCGATTCAGCTGCGTGGTTACATGGCGGTCACCTGTGGCTCGTTAGCATCCTGTAAGGCTCTGTTGCACCTGGAACTCTTGAGCGATATTTGATCACATCCATTTTAGCTCCAGTGGGGCCTCACACAAGTCTTCTTTCTTGCCTGAGGAACCGCAGCGGAGAGGTGTGAAGCTGGGATTCGAACCCAGCTCGGTGGACACGGGGCCAGAGCCCAGGTACTTCCTATCATGATGTTCCCTCCCTAGTGTAGCCTCAATGCCTGCTGCATAGTAAGCACCCAAACGTGCCAAAGCTGGGTATGGCAGTGTATGGGTTCGAGGCCAGCCTGGGCTATAAAATAAGTCTAAAATAAATAAATAAATAAATAAATAAATAAATAAATAAAACAGGGCTGGGGAGAGGGATCAGTGGTTGTACTTGGCCACACAAGCCTAATGACCTGAGATCAGACCCCCTAGAACAGGAATGGAGGGAGGGAGGGAGGGAGGGAGGGAGGAAGAAGGCAGGCGGGCAGATGTGGTATCACACATCTGTAATCACAGCACTTGTATGGCAAGAAAGTAGTTCTTGCTCATAGACCAGATGACATGAAGTCTACCTTTCAGCAGCTGAAACAAGAGAGGCCCCGCCCCAAACAAGACGCAAAGTCCAGAATCAACTCCTGAGAGATGTCCTCTGCCTCCACACACACGCTGTGGCATGTATACACACATACACACACACACACACACCTGCATATGTGAACCAGATTGACTTTATAAGGAAGTCAGCAACATATAATACTTAATGACAGGCCAGTGACAGTGGTCCAGAGGACTCACGTGGGAAGCCTGGCAAGGAAGCAGGGCGGAGAGACAGTGGACTTGCACCTTTGGGTGTCTTGGCATGGAAGGAGGCAGGAATGGGGAGGTGGGCACGGGCATGGAGGGGACTCTCCATCAGCCCAGAGGCCAGGCGCTGCCCTCACTTAGCTAGCTGGCAGGCACCACAGCGTGTTTACCAGCCCTTGGTTTTCTTGGCATCTCAGGATGACCTGCTCCGGCCTCTCTCCATTGGGCTGAGCTGATGACCCTCCCTGAAGACAGAGGAGGAAAATCAACCCACAGGCTGCCTCTAAGAGCACAGCTTTGTGGCAAGCAAACTCGAAATAAGTATTCAGGGGAGAAGATGATACTGGACGCACTGTTCCCTGAAAACAGTGAATAGCGCTGGGGGCAAGATTCACGACGGCTTCCTTTCTTTTTTTCTAATATTTTATTTATTTATTTATTATGTATGCAGTGTTCTGCCTGCAGGCTAGAAGAGGGCACCAGATCTCATTACAGATGGTTGTGAGCCACCATGTGGTTGCTGGGACTTGAACTCAGGACCTCTGGAAGAGCAGCCAGTGCTCTTAACCGCTGAGCCATTTCTCCGGCCCCTCACGATGGCTTTCATCTGCATTTCTCTGGGTCTGCGGTTTCGGTTCCGCTGTGGGCACTGGAGTCTGGGTAATGTTGCTGTTGCTGCTGAGAAATAGAACACTGATTGGTCCCGGGCCTCGGCTGCATCGCCATGTGAGGTACAGGAGCTTAGGACAGCAGCAGCCGGGGAACTTTTCCAAAGCCTGATGCCAGGCCAGGAGCAGCAGCACATACCTACAATGCTGGCTGGCCCAGCTCTGGAGGCTGAGGCAGGAGGATTGTGATTTTGAGGTCAGCTTGGACTACACAGGGAATTACAGGCTGTCCTGGGTTGCACACTGAGACCCTGTCAGAAAGAGGGGGATGGGGAGGCGGGGTTAGAGACCCCAGCCTCCAAAAGAAGTGTCAATTTAGCCAGGTGATTAAAGGCGCACGCCTTTAATCCCAGCACTCGGGAGGCAGAGGCAGGCGGATCTCTGTGAGTTCGAGGCCAGCCTGGACTACAGAGTGAGTTCCAGGAAAGGCTCAAAGCTACATAGGGAAACATGTCTCAAAACAAAACAAAACAAAGAAGTATCAATTTATGCATATTACTGATATGGGTGGAACCTGCACATTGGCTTTCTGTTTGGTTTTTTCTTGTGGTCGTGGGAACTGAGCTGGGGCCTTGAAGGTAGCTTCCTTCCCAGGCTGATGGGTTTATTTTGAAATCTGAGGTCTTGGTGTCGCCTAGTCTGTTCTCAAGCGATCCTCCTCCTTGTCTCAACTTCACAAGTAACTGGGACCCAGGTGCTACTACACCCAGCTTGTTCTTATTTATTTATTTACATTGGGGCAGGATGTGAGGCAGGGTCTCACTATGTAGCCCTGGCTGTCCTGGAACTCACTGTGTAGACCAGGCTGGCCTCGAACTCATAGAAATTTGCCTGTCTCTGCCTCCTAAGCAATGGGATTAAAAGTGTGCAACACCATGCCTGGCTTAGTTTTATCTTAAATAATGTTTAAGGGCTGGAGAGATGGCTCAGCAGTTAAGCGCATACTACTTTTGTAGAGGACTGGAGTTTGGTTCCTAGCACCATCAAGTGACTGACAATGTCACTCCAGTTCCAGGGGAATCCAGTGCCCTCTTCTGGCCTCCAAAGTCACTGCAGTCATGTGTGCAAACACACAGAGACACATGCAAATACACATAATTTTAAAAAAATATGTTTAAGCCGGGCGGTGGTGGCACTCAGGAGGCAGAGCCAGGTGGATCTCTGTGAGTTTGAGGTCAGCCTGGTCTACAGATTGAGTTCCAGGATAGGCACCAAAACTACACAGAGAAACCCTGTCTGGGGACAAAAAAAAAATGTCTAAACAGCCAGGAACTGGTGGCACACACCTTTAATCTCAGCACTCAGGAGGCAGAGGCAGGCAGATCTCTGTGGGTTCGAGGAAAGCCTGGTCTACAGAGTGAGTTCCCAGGACAGCCAGGGCCACACAGAGAAACCCTGTCTCGAAAAACCAAAAATAAACAACCTTTTCATTTTAGAATAGCTTCAAATTTACAGGAAAATTTGAAGAAACAATACCTCGTTTCCATGCCCTGCAGCCTCTCTCCCCATTATTGGCACTTCAGTTCTGGGCATCAGGAGAGACTTTCCTCCGGAGGCCGCTGTCCTGCTATCATGGAACTTCACTTTTAGCGATTGTCCCCAGTGACCC